ATTCGGTCAGGATTTGTCTCCAAGCTGTCTGGATTTTTGAAAGTTAATTGTATTTTAATCATTCTGAATAACTTATTTATATAATTAGGTGATAGACCTATGTCTTATTTAAGCTATTATATCTTAAATAAGACATAAGTCTTCTTATTCTTTAACCTATTCTTTCCGTTCTGTAGGTATTAAGAAGGCCATGTCCATGATGAGTTCTACCAGGAACACAATGGAGACTTGATGATGAGAGGGGAACTTGGCATATCCCGTATAGACCATCCACAATAACTTCTAGAGTTGGTTGTATGGAATCGATGCTGGGCCCAACATCTGTATGCTTTGGGGCCTGGTATCGTGCTGTGTTTTATAAGTTTAAGTTCTTTATTTAAAAAAAAAAAAAAAATAATGGTCTGGAATAAGATCTAGGGTGGGATTAAAGGAAACAAAAGCTTGCACCAGTAGTAAATTGAGGTCTTATCTATTAATAGACTAACTAAAATATTCTTTTTTCATATTAGATTTAGGTAATATCCTATTTTTAGATTAATTTCAAGAGTTAAACTTTTTTTCTCCTTTATAAAAACGTGTTAATGTCATAAATCATTAACCCTTTCATTATCAGTGTCGCCATCTGTTGACGATTGAATGAAATGATACTTTTTACTTAATTGTAAACATTAACAAAATTTTATTGTTATTTTTAACAGTAAAAATATAATTATTATTATTTTTTAAATTAGTATTCTGATTTTTATTGCAATTTCTTATATAAAGATACATTAGAAACAGTTAAAACTATACATAAAAGAAGTTTCAGTTCTTCACACCTAGATGGCTGTTCTGAAGCTATGCAAATAGCAACACTTTGTTCAATACTTAATCCTCCTCAAAATAAATTACATCATATTTTCATTTAACATAAAATTATAGTGAAATAAATTATTTTTGTGATAAAAAATAGAAAAATTACCAACTTTTCAGAGTGGGTGTAAAGTAACTAGTCATTAAGAAATTTCTATAATTTTTTGAAATAATAAGGCAATCATAATAAAGTTTATGTTTACATGTACATTAATCAATTATATTTTATATATTCTCATTTATAATGTGGGTAGTAACCGAGAGGTCGCACGTACAGTGTCAAGGAAAGATGGCTGACAGCTTGTCTGTTCAGGAGAGAGCACATTGCTGCACGCTGAAATGTGGAAATTAGTGGTTGCTGTGTAAAGATGGTGGCGTACGGTAAAGAAACGTGCTATAATCCGCCCGAAAACAATCAGGAATTGTTATTTAAAGATAAAAGTTCATAAATTCAGTTGATGACAATCATAGAAGTTTCCGTCCTTCCACATCCCGATCCTCAATTGTTTCAGAAAGTTGGTGGATGGCAGCGGCACCTGCATCGAATTTTAAAATACGCTATTTCCATTTAATATCGCACGTGTCAAATAATTTTAATCATTTTTGCTTTAGAATTATAGAAAGTATCTCGATTTCTGAATGCCTAGTTACTTTTCACCCACTCTTTATTAAGCAGAGCAAGCAAAAAATGATAAAAAAAAAAAAGTGTAGTCGAATAAATTTATCTGTATTAAATTTCTGTGGCTGTTTAAATGTATTAGAGGCTAAACTATGGTTTTTCCAATTATATTCTTAGATATGCAATAAAACACAATATAGAAAAATGAAAATATACACTTATTTATCAAATAAACACGCTATTTACAGATACAGATAATTATTTACAAACTTTACATACAGAATATGTAGCAATATAACAGCTTTAAAACAAAGGTATTTAAATTCTTTTGAACAGGCACATTTAGAATTTCTAGCAGGTACAGCCTACAAAACCACATAAAAATATAAAAGGACAGCAGTTAAAGTATATTTATGATTATTTTACTTATTCTGCATGCTGTTGTTGTTGTTGTTTTTTTTTTTCTCGTAGAAAAAAATAACAAAAATGCTTAAAAACAACAAAGTTATCTATTAATCAAATAAATAAAACAACTTCTTCTCGCCTCAAAGCGATTTGAGCGCCACTATCGGCTATCTGATACATTAACTCTACTTTAGAACATATCTATTGACACTGGTTACACTAATATTAGTCGTTACCCTGGTTAATGCCTACAAAAAGAGTGGAGAAAATACTGTACGCTCCTTATTACATGTTATTCAATGTTGCCTCGTTAATTCTTCCAACATTTCCGATGTTTCCTTTCAACGTATATGTACTGTACAGTGTACAGTACATCTATATACAATACCAAAGAGTTTATACACAATAATACAGTGGTGAATGTAGGTTTGTACCGGTCCCCTAATAATTGTTCTAGTTAACAAAAAGCCCGGGATGAAACAAGTATTGTTTGATAATTAAAAATAACTCAAACTAAGACATAAGAATAAATTGATTTATTTAATTGTTATGCGTGTACATAATTTATGTAAACTAACACACAAATTTCACCATTAACTTCGCGATTTGTTGTTATATTTTACGCATAAAATTAAATAATTTTATATTGTTTTTTTAAAGTCAATTAAGCCGTTATATAAGAAATTATATATGATTGTTAATCTTGTAAATTTCTTCACAGTTGAATAAATAAAGAAAAAGACACTCTTCATCGAAGACTAGATTGTAATTAAGATGAATAACTTCTAGAGTTAGTTGTATGGAATCGATGCTGGGCCCAACATCTGTATGCTTTGGGGCCTGGTATCGTGCTGTGTTTTATAAGTTTAAGTTCTTTATTTAAAAAAAANTACTCTTCATCGAAGACTAGATTGTAATTAAGATGCCTGAAAAAATAAAGATAAATTTAAAATATAATATTAATTTACTATTTAACTAACTATTATTAATTGCTAGCCCCCATATATTTATAACACCATTATTCATAGGCCTGTACAGTCGACTCCCCTATAACACTGTTGATTATTCCGTTTTATATGAATTCCATGTTGTACGAGTCACTTAAATTTTACAAATACGTGAGCCATTCACAGCCCGGCACACGTATTTGTAAAATCTAAGTGACTCGTACAACATGGGATTCATATAAAACGGAATAATCAACAGTGTTATAGGGGGGGTCGACTTGTATGACACATAATTGAAGTGCCGTAACTAGGCAAGTGTAACCGGGTGTAATAGCATAGGAACCGGAACAGGGAACCTCGAAATATACTGTAATAATATTTTCTTAGGTGTTTAAATAAGTATCTACACAATTATTATTATAATTAACACATATTAATCCCTACAGATACACGTTAATATCTAACATTCTGCAATTGTTCTATATTGTAGGGGGGAAAGAAATAGGGAAGAGAAAGATTATTTGAATAGTTTAAAGTACAGAAAAAGTATCTATTAGACAGTTAGAAAGAAATATACAGATAGAAATCTCATAGAAGTAAGCCCTATATCTTGATCTAGATACATTAATTTATATACATATTGTACTTACATTTATAGAACTTAACCAAAGAAAGAAAGGAACATCTTTCCCATTTTCTTCAACCTGGCTTCATTTGGCTTATCGGGTCTAAGTACTTCGCTTAAATAAACCAAATTTTTGCTCATAGGCTCCACATAAGAGTAAGTAGGATCGAAAAATGCTTTTATCCGGTGTTTAATATCTTTATCCAAACCAGTAAATTTCTCCTGTCTTAAAGTCCTATTAGGCATACCCAACATATAATAAGGATAGTATGTCATAGCGTAGGGATTATAATAATACGATGAAGCTAGTTGAACAAACAGTAACAAGAGTGTTAAACGGTAGATATCCATAATTCTAGAACAGTAAAATAAAAATTTGTAGAGAGAGAGAGAGAAAAAAAAAGGAAGTCTGTAATAACTAGTTTGATATACAGTATATACAAGTGAAGCTTCCTTACCTGTTTACAGAGGATATAAATGGCAGATAGAAAGATTATTGGGTTTATATTATCCACACCTTGACCTAGAGAACTGACCTAGACAACTCGTCGTGTGCTGATTGGCAACCAGCGGAAAGTTTCTCTTCCTGAATTTATTATGTTGTAGTTTTTCGAAAATAATGTCGATCATCTACCCCCCCCTCCTCTTTCCTTCTGTTTTCATACTTGTAATAACAAAAATCTTCCGGGAAGACATCGAATTATTTATTTATTTTTTTTACGAGAATTTTTACAATGAAATCTAATGTATCGTAACCGGAAGTAACACTTAAGTGCTTTATTTAATGGCTCTATACCGAAGCAGAACGAACTCGTATATTTAATTGTATAGGAAAAACATCCAGTTTTAATTGTCATTAATTAAAATTATTAATAATTATATATATATAAGTCTTTAATTTTGATTAAAAATAGAATTTTAATTGTTCTAGGTGAGGTAGTTTTATTCGGTGAACTTCGTTATAAACGTATAACAGAGCAAAAGTTATTATAATTAATGTTATTTTAAGGAGTTTTAAATTTAAATTTTTGGTGTTTTCATTGTGTTATTTAATGCCGTTTAGTTAATATTTTAATAAGTATTTAATAAAATAGTTTCATGTGCTTATAAAATATTCGAATATTTTTATATTAATGAATAAAAAAAACTATAGAAATTGAGACTTTAACGAAGCTTTTATTCAATATTTTGGAGAATTTAGTTAAATATTAAGAAGTATTTTAAAGAATTAACAGGGAAATATCACTTTCAACATAGAATTTGAGTTTAATTTGTAAGTAATTAATTATTATTTAAATTTTAACGTAATTTAACCAACACTTTATAATTTGAAGTGTTAAAATTGACCTCCCCCCAAAAAAAACTCATAGAAAATTGTACTTTTAGGTCTTTTATTCCATTTATAAGAAATTCAACAAAAACCCAACTTACATACATAATTATATTTAAGTTTTAACATGTATAAAAATAACATATTTATATATTAAAGTTAGAGATTTATACACGCACAATGACAATCACACTATGTACAAGTTTGTAGCACGGAGTGTTCCATGATGATTTTTTTGTTTTTCTATCACAACTATTTACAGAATTATGAGCATTTTACTAGATATTTCCTTCGCGTCATTTCTTTCCAAATGGTGAACCTCCGAAAAACCTGAAAGAATTATTAATTGTTTAAAAAAAAACAATTCATGTATCTTTCTTACAATATAATTGTTTCGTATATTACTACAATTTAGTATACTTACATGGGTGGTGGAGGGCCACGCATATCACCAACAGGTGCCATTCCCGGTGGAGGTAAACCAAAAGGAGCTGGTATAGGACCACCCATAACAGGTATACTGGCAGAAGGTACAGGTGCGTATCCTATAGATGGGGGACCAAAACTTACTGGTGGTGGTCCGAACATTGGACCTGGTGGTGGTGGACCGTACATGGATATGGGACTAGGAGGACCGAACATGAATGGACCCTGTGATAAAACACTTGAAACACATAAGATGAAAGCGTAGATTGCTAGTTGGCTGTACATATCTGTGATGTGTAGTGTCGTACGATTTGGTAGATGAATGTTTTCTTTCAGGATCCGAACCGTCTTTTATAGTAACTGGATCTAGAGCAATCTTTACTGTAAACGAGGTTAAGAGATCTTTTTTAACGCATTTTTTTTTTTTATCAAAGCACATCCAATACTCGTACAGTTTAGATTTTTCTTCCTCCTCTGCATACTTGGACGTTGACCTATTTTTAGGAATTACTCGGTTCCGGGCGAGGTCAATCTGAGAATAGAAAGTTTAAATTTGACCATGACCTTGGGGAAAAATGAACTTGAAAGAGATCTTTATAGCGCTTCATCAAAAGTGACAACGTGCTATCCCTAACGCAAACAACACGTTTTAATGGCGCTAAAAAGTAATTCTGTGGTAATTTTTAACGCAATTATGGTAAAATTTTGTTCATTTTAACTTATGCTAAATAGGGGGGTGACGTTGTTTACTTAGCATAACGAACGTAGACACGTTAAATGAAGGAAAGTATGACTTAATTAAAGTGCATAGTTCGCGTGTTACGACTGCTTAATTGTTGTTAGTCTTCCTAATTAAGGCAAGAGTTTGCTGGCATGCGAGATGAAGATGATAAAACAACGTATCTAATGAAGTAACACAATGAAAGAGGAAAAATAACTTAAAAAATTAAAAGCACAAATGTCTTAAAAATAGAAGGAACTAATTTAAGAATTTAAAATACGCGACAACAAAAAGGGTGTTTATTTAATTTTTATTTTTTAATTTTTAACTTAAAAAAAAAAAAAAACATAATCGAGGCCAAGCATTAAGGACATTTATTATAAGTTTACATTCGTTTTCTTACATACAACTCATTGTTTACAGTCGTCCTACACTCTATAAAAACCGAAAATTTAAGCTATTTTGTACCATAATTTTTAAATATTTTATAAATAAAACTGTAAAGATTAACATGTAAAATATATATAGGCCTATATAGACTATATATATGTAAAATTTAAACTCGGTTTTCCATAAGTCTGACCCGTTTGCTAACAAAGCAATTGATGTGAATCGTAACATAAAACTGGATTTCCTTATATCATCTTTAACGGAATAAAAATATTTCCAGTTTTTCCCCCTCCGCATCTAGGTTATGAGTAAATTATAACAATAATCACACAAACAGTTTCAGAAAAAAAAAAAAAAAAAAAAAAAAATCATCCCGAAGAAGCATATGACACGTTTACTTTGTATAAGTCATACAATTACACAGAACAATCTTGTTAAATTGTCATAAAAAGTTATTTTTAGAAGATTTACTGATAGAAATAACATAGAAAATTGTACTTTTAGACCTTTTTTTATTATCAACAAAAGCCAACTTACATTTAAATTTTAACACGTATAAAAATAATTGAGAGTATTTATTGTATATACAACGTTTAAAATACGTTTAATTCGATTCAGCGTGAGAAATTAAAATAAAATGTTTAAAAAATAGGTTAAAGAAAAGGAAATAAAGTAATAATTTTTTTTAATTATTTTCCTTTGTTTTAACAAAAGTATACAAAAAAAAAAATAGTACAAAACGTGCAGTGTTACGCTGTTTGCTAAGTGAATTCCATAGAAAAAAAAATACAATTGCATCTGTGTAAAAAAAAAAAGTACGCTGTGTTTTAATGGAAGAAACTTCTAAGTAAAAAAAAATTATAATTATAATTAAAAATGTATAAAAAATTCCGTTTTCTTTATAGAAAATGTCAAGTTATTTAAAAGAAAGTATATAATTAAGAAAGGGGTGAAAATATTTAAGGTATTTCGATTTTAATTTCTCGTACTTTTATATACTCGGGGTGGTCCGAAAGTTAGTTAACCATTGTAAACACTAACCGCTTCCCCCGTTTAAATAAACACTACATATTAAATCATATAGTCTATTTAATTACGATATTCACTGATAAAGCTTAAATTAGTTAACTGATTTTTGGGCCACCCTAATTAAAAATACTTTAATTTCTATACAGATTCTTAGTACAATTTTTTGAATAGTTAGAGTACTAAATATTCACTTGGTTATTCGAATGGTTCCTATATACGTTTTATAGTACAATATTTAAAAGAAAAAAAATGAACTAATACAATAGAGTTTCCTGTTTAAATGTATGATACAAAAAGTTTCCACAATAAACCTAATTTTTTACAGAAAAATTAGGTTTCGTGCGTACAAAAAGTTATCTTAATTCAATATCTTTTAATGTATTCAACTGTACTAATATACTTGTAGTGATGCATTAAAGAAAATGTAACACAATATATTTTTAAAGCTGTAACTTATCTGTAACACGCCTGTAAAGGTGTACATTATACACCTATAAAATACCTGTATTTTAAGCCTGTACACATAGACTTTTTAGTGTACAGTTTACAGATATATTCGTAAAGATTTATCTGAAAATAGTATTTAAAACCTGTACTTAGCATAAAAATTTATGTGTAACATTTCTATAAAGATTGTATACAACTTTAAAAATATACGTGTACACATCTGTAAATGTATAACTACAATACAGCCATAAAAGTATATATTGTATTTAAAAGCTTTTAAATGTACAGTACATTAACGATGTGTATTTAAAAACTGTACATATCTCTAACACATAAAAGTGTACACTTAAAAGATATAAAACACTTTTGCGGGTGTATTACAGCTTTTAAAAGTACACTTTAAAGAACACTTACTCTCTTTAGGTGTAATTATGTTGCATCATGGCTGCAATTTCTAATCATATTTTTAATTTCTAAAACCACATGACTTCAGGACCGGGCCGGAAGTTCTTATACAGTTAATCGGTATAAGTTTTCCATATCTGGTCTCGATTTTCATCTACCTAACTCCGTTCTCGACATTAACGAAGGACAGACAGACGGACGACAGCGGGAATGTATGTATGCCTGCAATTGCAGCTCAATAAACTTTACTGTCAGAACAAATAAGAAAATATTCAATTTTACACCACACCAAAAAAAAATTTAATTGTAAACAAATGGAGCATAAAAATTAAAAATTAATCTTTTTATGTTTTTTTTTTAATTTTACGCTTCATTAATTAATTAATTAATTAATTTATTGGTTTACGGAAAAGTTCAATATACACCCGAACACGTGTATGTACCAAAAGACAAAAAAGGAAAAAGAAAAATTAATAAAAAAATTGAATCATTTACTCTTCACTGATCATAAAATTTGTAATTTATGTTTTATACGAATTTACAAAACATAAATATGAGGGAAAATTTTACTGATATTTTGAGAGATATCTTTACAAAAAATCATCCTTGTTCCATTTTTTTTGTAAATAAACTGAATACAAATATGATTTTTATGACCTCTGGGAGCATTAACACACTATAAAAGTGCGATCAATTTATTCATTAAATTCTTTTAAAAAAACTGTCGAATTTTATCTTAAATGTAAAAAATCCCTTCTAAATTACTAAATCTAAAAATACTTATTAAAAATTTCCGGGTATTTCTGATAATTATTAACACCTTGACCTTCAAATGACCTTGGGATGATATATAGTATTTATTTTTAAAAATGTTCAATGAAAATAATATATGCAAACTGATTTAAATTCACTTATTCTAAATAAGTAAACATTAACCAAACATTAAAAATAATCTGAATATACCTGAATTGAACAGAATAAAATTGAATAGAGATTATTTAAAGTTCAAGTAACAGAAAACATTACATGAACATTGAAAATGTATTAAGCTTAATAAGAATATTTGCTTATTAGTCATATCATACAAATATTATTCATAACACTAATAAAAAAGCTGAGAAACTAATAACTAATATATTCTTGCCTCAAACTGCACTTATTAATTCATAAAAATAAAAGCAAAATAAATGATTAATGCTGTTTTAAAATGCTGGTTGAATAACTCTTACAAATAACAATTAATCTAAATGTATTTTAGATTGTCTCTCTAATTAATTTGCAGCTCAATAATTTTCTTTAAGATCAAATCATGTAACTAACATACCTTCAGTTTCTCTCAGGTTGATAGACAATAATAGTTTTTATTTTAAACATATTTCAATTATGCATTTTTCTTAGCTTTTATTTCTGTAATTGTAAAACAAATATTTATTACTATAATTTATGTAATTAGGCAATAATGTTGAAGATCCATAATCAAGCAGAAAACATATCCCTCTCTACAGAGAATTGTCTTATCCACTAAAGATTAGAAACATGCATAAACATTCAATTTTCCAGACAACTTTCTGTTATGATAAATATTTAATAAACACACTGTATATTTAAAATATGATGAAATTAATTTATTATTTATAATTACATAACAAAAATGCTTGATTAAAACAAAACAGTTATTAAATTAGTCTTATTAAATTGATANTAATAATTTAAAAATATTTTTTGAGGTTCAATTTTTTAAATTTATCTTAAATTTCTCCATAGAGAAATGTATTTTTTTCAAAGTCCATCCTTGAGATGATCATGAAAGATGAACATTTTCTAATAAAAGGTGCAAAATTTTTAAAATTAATTTAAAACATTCATCAAAACTGATAATTTGAAGTGTTTTTAACTTAATTTTCTCTAAAAATTAACAATTTATGGCATATTAATTGACAAATTCCCAAATTCATCAAGTTTATCTGATCTTGAGTTGATCGTGAGATCATCTTGAGATGATATTGAGAAATATTCCTATTTTTTGGTATTAATTCAAAATATTTATCAAAATTGATAATTCAGGAAGCTTTTTTAAGGTATACTTTATTGTATTTTACTGTTAGGAAGTACCAAAAAAAAAATTTATTTCGTTAAACCATAAAACATACACGCAATTTTCTTGATCTTGAGATGATCTTGACCTTCAACTTATTTAAATATGATAATTTAATGACTTTTTTACGTCTAATTTACAGTTTCTAGCTGTAACTGATATAAAATTTTGTGTTGTACATTATAAAAATTGAAATATTGAAGAAGTTCACCCTTTGCTAATGAGGAATTGTACATACTTTTTGAGGTAAGAGAGTTTTGTGACCTTCTATTTTAACATAAGTACCATATTTAGAGCAATGATAGTGAATCTTCTTGAATTATCCCCTTTAAAATTTAACTTTCGCTTCAGAAATTCAGCATTTAACTGATTGTTTTTCAGTAGATACAACGTGAGTTTCGATCTACTGTAATAATAGCCTAGTGTTTATGCTTATTGAAACTTCAAAAACATGATTAGTTATTGAACCTGACTGAACCAAAGTTCTTTATTATGATGAACGTTGGTTCAAATCTCAGTTTAGATGGATATATGTTACGATAAAACTAAATTTTAAAGTAATATTAAGAAAAAAAAAAGCATTAAAAACTTGGATATATCAAGAGATTTTTCCTACAAAACCGTCCAAACGTGAAAATTTGGGAAACCCAAAAAGGAGTAGGTTAGTCAAGCTCTGTTAGCTCTTACACATGGAGCGAATTAGCTCGGAATAAATAAGTATTGACTCCCAACATCCTTCTGTTTCGACACTAAACTACACATTTAATGAAGTAATGAACCATCTATGCAGGATATATACAATAAAAAAAAAATAATGGAGCGAGTCCCCGATTCATTATTTTTATTCACGGAGGGATAATGACAAAATTCCTTAAGAAATAATTAAATATAACTCAGGGGTTCGGTTCATATTCAGATCTGAACGTTCTTCGATAAATTATAGCTTGGGTTTGGATCTGAATGAGGGCCAAACCCACGCCATTATTATTAAAAACCGTGGGTACGGTCTTGTTATATATTGATATTATTAAAGGGGGTTAAATATGATGTATATTTATAAACATTAGGTAAAAGAAAAATTTATGCATCACGAGTTGCGTGCAGTTTATGAATTGTAACGTAAAAAATTTACATAAAAAGTGTACGTGGTATCAAAATAACTAAATTTTCTGTATAAAATCATATATGTCGAGCTCGTGTTTGACTCTTATTCACATCCAAATTCACGTTATTCTTACTGATAAACACGGGTTCGATCCTACAGAACCTAAGTATGTATGTAATTACAGAATTAGTTTAAGTAGCATTACACTTTCTCATGATTTTAATTAATTGGTATAGAAAAAAAAGAGCACTTTCACAACTCCTCATTAATTAGGACTGATTTTTTTAGGGTCTGTTCTCTATTTTGATTTAATTAGACACATTCCTAGTATTTTTGTTAAACCCTTTTTTTTTAGGGATTTCCATTTAATTCGAAGTTAAAATCCTTTTATAATTTCAGGTTTCCTATTTAAATTATCACTCAGAGCATACATTTAAATTTTGAATTTCTTTGTACTGAAGTGTTCAAGTGTTGCATACATATCCCTTTGTATGTAATATAAGGGCTAATATTCATTCAAAAAGCTCGTATTGAAAAAGCTAATATCAAAATCTAAGCCGGGGAATAAGTAATTTGGGTCCGAACCCACGTTCTTCAGCATAATAACGATCTCAAGCGACAAAAATATCAATACAAAGCATGACTCAACGTACTGTACAATACATTACCACGATTTTAAATAAAAATATCGAAGTGAATGCCACATAAAACGTGGGCCCACGTTGCAGTGACAAAAAAAAATCCACGATACACTACTGCACTAGTGTTTAAATTATGACTTAAAATCAAAATATTATGATTAAAACCTTAAAAAAATGACGACACAAAGATCTAAAAGTTAAATACAAGAAGAAAAAGAGCAACTCTTGTTTTCTGTCTAACCAATGGCCACACCTGTAAGGACGTTATCCTTAAGCAAAGATCCTCTTTTCATCATTTTTCCGTCGTCCGTCCTATATTTTCTGCTCCACTAACCTTGCAATAGATGCCGTTTTAAGGCAAGTGGGTCAGTGTTTATACTAGGGTCGTCATCACTCGTCGCCATTGGGAACGGAAGAGGAAAGTCTCTTCCTTTAACAAACAGGAAACAAACACAGGTAAAGGGGAAAAATCTACAGGTTTTTCTTTTATGCACGTCTCACTAAACCATGCTAAATATTTGTACGAATTTAGAAAATCTTGTTAAATTTATTACAATTTATTTCAACGTGTTCCATTTGTACAATATGTCTAGCAAACAATTAACATGTATCGTAATATTCTGGTGTTTACTATAAATAGATACATAATTTGTCTTTGTTGCGGAAAAATCATAATTTTCTGCAGAATTTAAATCAGTTTTAATAAATATGTATTATCTACAATGAATATTGATTATTCGTTGTAGAAATTACATATTGAACTTTGAAACTAAGGAACTGATACTGAGACAACAGAAAATAGATAAAGCATGTGAATAATCTATGAAATTTTTCCATTGTTAAAAGTGAAGTTGTACACCAGTCCTTTCGGTTGTCACTCCTTTACAATGCTAATTTAGTTTCCTACCTTTAATCATGTTGATAGGATTTTTAGGAGCAGGAAGGATGGCCTTGGCATTAGCTAAAGGTTTAGTTGCAGCTGGTGAGTGTATTAACACCTAATTTGCGGCGTTATTGTTGAGTTGCTAACTGAACGGAAGTTGAGGAACGTTCAACTTTTGTCTATAGCTTCTGGGTGAGTCGCTGACCTTCGTGATCGACGTGTTTACAATTTGCATCCGAATTTTTATGCTTTTAAATGCATTTTATGCCTCTTTTGGGCGTTTTTATTTATTTGCATCGATAATCTTTGCTGTTTTTTTTTATGTTTGTTGCGATAAGTTAGTTCAATATTTGTCAATTCTTTTGTATTGTGAAGTGGTTGTACCCCACTTACTTGTTGAAAAGTAAAGTGGGGTGACGATCGTTTGATAGTGTCTTTTTTTTTTTTTATCTGTTAAAAGTAAATTATACGTTATGTAAAAAGTACAGGATTTATATAATAATCTGTTTTGTTCTAATAAAGGGCATAAAAATCTCGGTTGTATATTTTACAGTGTTCCTGGGGTGTGTGGTTGCGTGTACGGAGCAAGGAACTTCCTTATTTTCGACCTTTTTAGGCTCCTTTTAATGAAATTTATACATTTATCATAAGATTAAACATCATTTTTAACCTCGTTTTAACATTTTTAGGTATCACGAAAGTTGAAAATATTATTGCAAGTTCACCGAAAGATGAACCATCCATGTTGGAAGAGATGAAGGTTTGCATATTTATTAGAAATTTGAGGAAAACATAAAGCATAAACAATAATTTATATAATTTCTTTGAAGTCCTTAGGGTTTAATACCACTTACGAAAACGCTAAAGTCGTGGGTGAGTCCAATGTTGTGATATTATCTCTCAAACCACCGGTTGTGCCAAAGGTGCTGAGTGAAATTACTGGTTTAGTCACTCACGAGCACTTAATGATATCTATTGCTTTAGGTATCCCTATAAGAAGTTTGGAGCAGGTAAGTGGCAAGTATATCGTAATACACGCACAAGTACACAAGAGAAGTGTGGTACACTCCTCTTGTGACTTGGATGATTCAAGTCTCTAAACAAAATATCACTTGTGATGCTGTGTACACATATCAGACATGTTAATGTGCATTTACCATGAGCATTCACACACACAGATCACACTGATTGTCAACTAGCTGTATAATAAAGTAAACCTTATGCTTATGTGTAGAGACTTGAATCAATCTGTATAAAACTAAGAAGTATTGTAGTATGGCAATTCTTAGTGGCACCATATGCCACTTAATAGTATTAGAAGTGTATTATGTTATTTCTTGATCACCACAGATGCTTCCAAGAAAGAGTAGAGTGGTAAGGGTCATGCCCAACACCCCTGCTTTAGTCATGCATGGTATGTCTGTCTTTTGTTGTGGAACATCCACGTTAGAAATTGACAGCACCACCACCTCTAGGTTATTTTCGAGTGTTGGCACATGCGAGGAAGTTCCAGAAACTCTTATAGATGCCGTTACTGGTGTTAGTGGTAGTGGTCCAGCTTATGTGAGTTGCAAAACTTTCAAATTTGCAATTTCTTTATAATTAACATTTAATAATTTTGCACACATTTACAGATTTATATGGCTATAGAGGCTCTAGCCGATGGAGGTGTAAAGATGGGAATACCTAGGGATTTATCTCAAAAATTAGCGGCGTATACAGTGATGGTAAGTTGTTTCTTGTGGATATTTAGCATGAATTTTTGCACTCTAATTTTGGCTCTTTAGGGAGCTGCCAAAATGGTTTTGGAAACTGGACGCCATCCGGGTGCACTAAAGGATGACGTGTGTTCACCAGCAGGATGTACTATTGAAGCCGTTCATCAATTAGAAAAATCAGGTTTCAGGTCAGCATTAATTGAAGCTGTAGAAGCAGCAACGCTCAAATCTAAAGAAACTGGCGCTAGGAACGTCTCTTAGAATGTTATTTATTTGTTGCAATAAAAGATTTCACGAATATTTTAGTGTATATGAATTAGGGTATCTCGTAAACATTCTATCTACATTTGATTGTTGTTTGTCCCGCGATTATGAGCAAAATTAAGTGTAATAATCAATGGTAATGAGCATAAACCCTTTTCTTTATTGCTGTAATCTTCATTTATTCCGTGAATATTAATGAAAAAGAACATAAAAAACGTACATAAAAATTGATAAAATACCTACACGAACCATTGTCAAAGAAAATTAATGCCTAAGAGCTGATGTAAATGAACACGAAAACATTGTTACACAAGAATAATTTCCTTTCATGTTAAGGAAAGTTGAGCATAAAATTTAAAAAAAAAGAGCATAAAAACTACATTTTTGATATTTAAGGTCCTTATTATGAGTCATTTTCTTTTACGTTAATGAAAATTAAACACAAGAGCCATTGAACAGAAGAATAAAAATGGCATTACTCATGAATTATAGGCCTATATATATATTATTCTTGTAAACTTTTCCTATAAACTTAGGAAAATAATAATAAAAAAAAAGGAATATCCTTATAATTTATGTCATATTGATAATAAATGAATAATAGCATAAAGACAATTTAAATGTACATTTTTCTTATTATCCTGCATCATTTTTCATCCATTTTGAAAACAGAAATCGCCCTACTTCGATCTTCACGATAACAATGTAAATTCGCGATATCAGATATAAAAGGACAACAAATTACCTTTATGTTATACTTCTATGTGTTATTCGTTAATTAAAAAATATTTATAGCAAGATAACGGTCATAAAATGGATATTCGTGTGTTACTGATGTATAGAAGTGATACAGTCTCTTTGCACTTAAGATATCATTATCACAATTTGAAAGAATATCGGCTTAATGGATAAAACGTGTAGATGATATCGTCTATAATATAAATTACAGTCGAACCTCCCAACGACGGACAATAACTATACTTCGTTATTGATAAGATGAAACACATAAATTTTAGATAATAGTCTGCTTACCTGTAGGTAAGCAGACTATTATCTAAAATTTATATGTTGAGGTGAAAATACGTTCGTTTATTAACATTTTAGAGTCTTTTTTATCAACAATATTTCTATAACGTGATTCTGGGTACTTATTTTGTAAATTAATGCATTAAATTACAGTATTTTATGCATACGACTTGCATAAATAATCGCATTATAAGTTTATGTATAAAATCTCTATGGATTTCTGTACATAGAGGACAACTCAGGTTCCAGCCCCTTAAGAGTTGTTATTGATAGAACTTTATGTAAAAAAGACCATTCACGTTTCTTAGTACCTTATGTATAAGTCCATATAAAAAACCCCTACACGTTCTTTATGCTTTATACAATGGGATTTACGTTATAGTCCATTGACTTTGTACGTTTCTCATGTTTAGTGTTTTATGTACTGTACAGTACATATTTGGAGGCCTTATAAATTTCTATATAAAATTACTAGGTTTCTGATACGTATAGTGACTTCGTTACAAGTTCCTATATAAAATCCCTCTGTTTGTTAAAAGTAATTTGTGTACAGAGACTTTCATGTCTTGCAATCTTCCAGTGTTAATATCATTTTGTATACTTATATTGGAACGTAATAGCCTCATGCATTTATATTTATTGTACGTTATACATACGAACTTATATGTTTCTGTATATAAAATATCATTGTAAATTCATACTTCTGTAATTAATAGTACTTGATATGTGAACTGGTATTATGTTAAGGTCTTATTCCCTGTACATGTATCAAGCATATTTTCGAATAGTTAATACTTTATTCAAGGACTGTTCATCATTGTACACTCCTTGCATAAAGTATATGGTGTCAATCGAAACAAACTCTCCCGCGTAGAGATGTAAATTCGTCAAGGGCATACACAACTTTACACCTATTTAGGTTAACTTTCTTATAATCAGGTGAACAGATATTTAACTATCCGCCTACATCTTGGAGATTTAAATTAACCCATTTTTAACTTCCTCATCGTCGTTTACAAATTTTTGAAAATAATTACCCTGCAGTTTTAAATAAATATAAAAGAACATTTAATTTTGGTGTGTTGCGACATATTTTAACAATGCAAATCTCAAAAATAAATGGCTTTACCTGTCAATTTTGTACGGAAATTTAGCATGTTTTAAGTGCAGGTTCACACGTAAACAAATCGGAACATGTTCGAGGTTCGCAAACAATTCCTGGCAGGTTCTAAACATGTGTGAACAAGTCAGATCATATTCAATTTAGACCATTTTATTTCTATATCCTGAAATCCCTGTATCTGATATTGCAATATTACAAATCTTGGCTTTCGCTTCCTTAATCCCTACCAAAATTTGCATTGTATGCTACTGTTACACAGCGTAACGTGTGTGTGAATCTACAAAATTTCCATTGCTGAATGTGGCAATTTATTCCCACTGCAGCGTGTTGTGAAGGGTTTGGATATAGAAAACTGTCGACTTTTAAGGGAACGAAGGGCATGTGGAATTCCGAAAAAAATCACATCTTTAACAGACATTAACAGTCACTTTTAAATCTGCATTTCAACCATATTGTTTGTTTCTCTATACATTATCTTAACTTTTGTGGAAATTCAACGATACAATTTTCTACAAGATACACTGAGAACAAATTACAAAATATCTATCAAATTACAAAATGCACATTTGTAATGACACAGCCTGATAAAGTAAATTCATGTCGCTTTATTTATTTTCGACACCAAAGTCTTTGAATAAGCGTTAAGAGAGTGATGTTTATATTACATTGAAAGGATAAAGCGAAGTCGTTATGTAAATGTTCCTCTTCGGAGTATTAAAATTTATTGACGTGCTGTTTTAAAATGGGATTCGACGATATATATATATGCAACAGAGATGGTGATGATGATTAAAATGACACTTTTGATACAATGTAAATATAAGAATACACTGCGGAACAAAAATTCCAAGCTGACTGAACTAGGGTAAAATGTACACCTAACTGCAAAGCAGTCTAAATTTTTTTTTTCCTTGCACACTGAAATATATAAACAATCTTTTATTTCACTCCAGCAGCCGCACCTAGTGCCCCGTCCACTCGTGTTTGCGATACCAGCTCTTGCGTCGGTGGTGCCCGTGAGAAGGTGGTACCCAGTGTTTTCTTCTGTTACGGTGGAATCTTTCCGAACTTTCGGGACCGAAACGGTTCCATTCGTTGTGATACTCGCGTGAATAGTACCTGCGGCTTTTGTGATGGTGATGATGATGATGGTGGTGGCCGTCATAGTGGTCGGAATGAGGCGAGTATGGTTCGGAATGATGAGGTGGAGATGTGTAATGTTCCGAACGATGCTCTGGAGGTGCGTAGGCCGTCAGAGGTTGCTGCTGGGCGTAATTATGACTGGAATACGTTGGAAGAGCGGTGGGAAATGTAGCAGCCGTGGTCCTGTTCGGATCTTCTTGAACAACTGGTGTTGTGACAGTAGTTGTCCAATAAGAGGATTGCACTGAAGGCATATTCTGTGCTTTTTCCATCTCTTCCAACTGTTTCTGAGCTTTTTCCAGCAGCTCTGAAGCAGACATTCGACTTAGAGAACCTCTACCACTACTCTTTGTGCTAGATGAGCTTGTATCACTGGATTTTGTTTTCAACCTAGGATCTTCCTGTTTTGTGTTGAGCATCTCTTGTGGAGAGACTTTATTCGCATCTGGTTGGATAATTTTTGAGAATGACGATGATGGCTCATTTGTCGGCGGCTTCACTTTTAAGTAATCATTTTCAGGTCTATTGTTAATGGAATTCAGGAATGATGTTTCGGATGACTTCTGCATATTTTCCTTTACTCTGCATAAAATATCATGTAATTTCTGTGGAAGATCTAAATTACTAGAGTTTTCACTGGATGTTGCATTGTTAGTATCATAAGTATTTGTATCTACAGGTAGTTGCCAGTCATCGCCCAATCCTGGAATTTGAAACACTGGTTCTGATTCAATTTCCATACTGGAGTCAGCTCTCTCTGAATCACTGTCTAACTTGCATTTTTTAGAAGGTATTGAGGATTCATCTTTGGCTAATACTTGGCTAGTTCCCATTAAAGTTTTATTTGTCATTTTCAAACTCTTTTGTATTTCCTGTTTTTGCTGTTCAACCTTTTTAGTTAATTCTATTAACAGTCTTGTCTGTAAAGCTAATGATTCATTGGATGTCGAAGATGGTTCTTTTGGCTTAGCTGCTGAAATGCTGGTAACAAAATTGTCATCATCTTCTGGATCATATGGCTTGTCTGCATCCTCATCTTTCCAGGTTTTGTTTTGACTAGTACTATCATCACATTCAAATTTTGGCAACTTTTCAAGAGGAGGAGTGTAAGAAGGTTCATATTCATCAGAAACTGGTGTGTGTTTTGATGATACACTCTCTTCTGTGTTGTATGGCATAGTTTCCAGAGGAGGGGTATATGATCTTTCAGGACCTTTTGAAGCTTTCCTAAAGAAACAAAAATTTATAAAAATACATAAACCATATTCTATAAAAGTTATTTGAATTTTAATTGTTAAAAATGCATTACTGTATATTAATAAATATTCAAATGCATACAGCATCAAGTGTACTGTACATTGTTAACATGTACAGTATGTTATGGTGTGAATCTTAAAATGATGTGAATTTCTATTCATTTATGTGAATGACCAAAGTAACATAACAGTAACATCTTTCACCAAATGTACACATATCATTGTTCAAACACATAAAACAGTCATGTCTTTAATCAGTTATCATGTTCTTTTTAAGTGTTATCAATAATGATTACACTTAAAAATCAATAACATTAATGTAATAAATCATCGGTCACTGTTAAATATCAATATGAGAAATTGTTGCTTGAAATAAAAAATTTATATATTATAACAATTTTGATTTAAAAAATTAATTAAATTTTAAAATTCACAGTAGTACTATATCAAATAATACCAGATAATCATCTTTTGTTATCGTCTGGAATAAGAATCATTTCTGTCTAAAACAACTATCAATATAAATACAAAACTAATTAGGAAACTATTTAATAGATGTATACCAAAATATATGCAGATTACAATGAATTTTTAAATAAAAATGTTCTGTAAGTACTCAAAACTGTCGATTAAAAATCTTCAAAATGACAAATAAATAATGTCGGCATTTCTGGTTGTTCAAATGTATGATTGGCAGAATACACATTATATGCCATAAATGAAACTTTGATTCTGATTGGCTGTGTGTGACATGTCACACTATTTGATCAAAATTAAAAGCTTAAGTTAATCAAATTTTAATTTATATCTTAGATAGATCCAGTTCTTAAATTTAAAGAAATAACTCTTTTGCAAAGGTTGCACATAAAATCCAAAAATTTTATGAAATGCCTAAACACCATTTAAAGTAATTTATAAATATAGATATGTTTATCAAATATTTCACACAGAGCCTAAATATTTTGTAAAATAATATATACAGAATCTGTATAGTCCAATCCGTAAGCAAGGTCTTTAAAATCCAACTGACATGACAGTAATCTGCTATAACAAATAATTCAACTCATTATGCTATCATTTTTTTGAATTCAGTTTTCTAATTATTTAGAAAATAATTAATAAGTATAAATGTTACTTGAACTAAATCTGTATTTTTTTCTATTTATTTAAAAGCAGTTTCTTGTAATAAAGATTTCTTAAATAAAAATCAATGGATAAAATTGTTTAAGAACAATGATACTCAAACTTGTTCCATTCAATTGTGGCATTCCATAGATAGTGCAATAGGATGAATTCTGTTGTATGAATTATTTGTCCTTATGATAAAATTGTTATTTTTGACAATATAAAAAAAGCTGCCATTTTGAAAATGCTCAGGTTAATTTTTTAAAAAAAATTTATATTACACTAATTTTACAACCAAAAACAAAAATGGATAGATTAATTTTAAGAATTGTGTGTACAGTAGAGCATCGATTATCTGACTCAATTGGGGACTGGGGTTGGTCGGATAACTGAAAAAATGGATAACCGAAAAGTATGAAAAAAATACATTATTAGTATAGTATATTATTATATTTCATGTAATTAGTATCTTAGTACAGTGGGTGATCAGTTAACGAACATAATCCGTTCCAAGATTTTGTTCGCTATCCGAATTGTTCATTAACCGATTATCGATTTACTGTAGGTTTTAATGGGAATTTAATTAATTCGTTCTGGAGACCTTAAAAAATAAAAAATATATACCTTCTTACTACATTTATTTATATGTAATAATAAAACTACATACATACACAGTATTGCATTTTTATTAGTCATGTTTTTTCTGTTTGAAAGGGTTAAAGAATCTGTCTAATGTCGATTGCTTTTCTCTCTTCGTCATGATTTTTTGTAAGTAATTAATAGCATTGTAATTGTAGAGATCCCGAAGCCTCAACCTGGTTTGGATGCAATTCTAAGACCTTTGTTCTGATATCCTCCCACTTCTACAAAGGATCTTTAATAACAGATATCAGCATTAATCCTCTTTTTCAGAAGAAAACATATCTTTCCGAGTTTCTTGGTGTTCTTCATTCAAGAGTTCTTGGCGTTCTTCTGTCGTCAGATCCGTTTCAGGTTCCATTACGAACTCTTCGATGTTCTTTATTTCTCAGATGTGATTTTTGTTACTGCTTTAGCTGCTGGAGCCTTTTTGATTATACAGCATTTTTCTTAAATAAGATTGAACTGAGGCCTACTGTACACCTGTTTATGCCATATTGCCCAGCAACATTAGGTATCTTCTGTCCACTCACTACCTTTGCTATTATACTCTCATCTTTCAAAAAGAAAAACAGATGCAAAACTTAACAAGTGCCTACCCGACAGTCTCGCAAATACACAAAAGAATTGTTTTGTCAGAAAAATAAAAGGCTGGAATTACAAGGGAGGATTTCAAAGTTCAGAGGAATACTATCCAATCAGTATATANTCTCTCTTCTTCATGATTTTCGTAAGTAATTAATAGCATTGTAATTGTTGAGATCCCCAACCTGGTTTGGATGCCATTCTAAGACCATTGTTCTGACATCCTCCCACTTCTACAAAAAATCTTTAATAACAGATATCAGCATTAATCCTCTTTTTCAGAAGAAAACATATCTCTCAGAGTTTCTTGGTGTTCTTCATTCAAGAGTTCTTGGCATTCTTCTGTCATCAGATCCGTTTCAGGTTCCATTACAAATTCTTCAATGTTCTTTATTTCTCAGATGTAATTTTTGTTACTGCTTTAGCTGCTGGAGCCTTTTTGATTATACAGCATTTTTCTTAAATAAGATTGAACTGAGGCCTACTGTAGACCTTGTTTATGCCATATTGCCCAGCAACATTAGGTATCTTCTGTCCACTCACTACCTTTGCTATTATACTCTCATCTTTCAAAAAGAAAAACAGATGCAAAACTTAACAAGTGCCTACCCGACAGTCTCGCAAATACACAAAAGAATTGTTTTGTCAGAAAAATAAAAGGCTGGAATTACAAGGGAGGATTTCAAAGTTCAGAGGAATACTATCCAATCAGTATATATCGGCTTGAGCGTCGATGTCGACGTCTCCCACACTCCGAAAAGTTTCGAATTGTTGCCCGAAGACAAGGGAAGACCAATCGGTATTCATTATTTTACATCGCTTCTTCTTATGTTTGTTCTGTAGGGTGTTCATTATCCGATCATGTGTTCGTTGTCCGAACATAAAAATCTTTCGCGAAAGTGTTCGTTATCCGATCTGTTCGTTAACCAATCACTCAAATTGTATATCGCTATTAACCTACTTCACGTTGAATTTTCCTCAATGTTAAGCCTAACAAAATTTTTTTTTAAATAATAATTATCGCTATTGCATTGTTAAAAATTATTTCTATNGTTCAGAGGAATACTATCCAATCAGTATATATCGGCTTGAGCGTCGATGTCGACGTCTCCCACACTCCGAAAAGTTTCGAATTGTTGCCCGAAGACAAGGGAAGACCAATCGGTATTCATTATTTTACATCGCTTCTTATTGTGTTTGTTCTGTGGGGTGTTCATTATCCAATCATGTGTTCGTTGTCCAAACAAAAAAACTTTCGCAAAAGTGTTCGTTATCCGATCTGTTCGTTAACCGATCACTCACTGTATATCGCTATTAACCTACTTCACGTTGAATTTTCCTCAATGTTAAGCCTAACAAAATTGTTTTTTAAATAATAATTATTGCTATTGCATTGTTAAAAATTATTTCTATATTTTGCACAAAATAAATACGGTACTGTACATTGAAAAATATAAAACAAAAAAATATATATACAGTATTCGGGTTACATATTTTACATAAAGTAGGCTTATAAATTAGAAAAAGAAGTCCAAAATTTTCTTTTGCTTCACAGCTGACACTAGTTTTTGCCACTAAATCTTGCACACGTTTTAAAAACAGCAATTGGATAGCGTCACATTCTTCCTGCTGTTCTAACCACTTCATAGCTGTCTCAAGGCCATGAAAAGCTTCCTTACTGGATGGTCCTTTTTCAGCATGGTTGTTGTCACTAGGTTCTTCCTCATTGTCGCAAGAGTCTTGGTTGTTGATGACACCAGTAATTATTTCATCATCCGACAATATTTGATAATCAGGGTCATCGGCATTCAAGCCAGTTTTGAATGTTTTCATTGTCACATTCTTCAAATCCATAACATTCTTTAATCAGCCCACACAGATGTGATACAAATTGGCTGTTTGGTGGTTCTTCAGGTGCTGTGATAAACTCATCTCATGGTAGGAGCTTATTCCAATCTGTTACTAGTGTAGTGTCCTTGACAGTAGCCCAAGCATCTGCTGCCATGTACATAGAATCCTTCAAGTTAATTTCAGCATACACTTGCTGAATTGTTTTTTCACATTCATCTCCAAGCATTACCATACACAGTAATGCCTTTCTGTAATATCGTTTGAAGCTTTCAATGACTCCTTGGTCCATCGGTTGGAGGACTGAAGTAACATTGGGAGGCAGGTAAACAACTTTAAACTTTCCGTTTTCTCTTTCCAGTGAAATGTTTGAGGGATGACTTGGGTCATTATCAATCAACAACAAAACATTTCCAGTATTTCCAGTTCTAAGCTGATGATTTTGACTTCAAGGATAAATACAGTGTCATACCATTCTATAAAAATGCTTATATCCATCCATGAATTCTTTCGATTTTGTAGATGACCGGCAATTTTTTTATTCCCTTAAAGCACTGTGGATTTTTAGACTGTCCTACGATTAGCAAAGGTAGCCTGTGCGTTCCAGTAACATTTCCGCATACCATAACAGTAATGCGTGATTTGCTTGCCTTAAAACCAGGTGCTGACATTTCATTCTTAGAAACTAGGGTTTTTGTTGGCATTTTCTTCCAGTACAAACCAGTTTCATCCGCATTGTAGACAGTGGTTTTTTTGTAACCATCCTTATCAATTATGCTTTTAAAAGACTTTTTCAAATGTTCAGCTGATTCAGTATCAGCCAACAATTTTTCACCCTGGATGTCCAATTCCCTAATTCCATGCATAGATTTGAAATGCATAAGCCAGCCAGTACTCGCTTGAAAATCAGCATTACCCCCTAGTTTCTTGTTCATTTCAAGAGTTTTTTTACAAATCAAAGGGCTACTTATTGGTTGTCCTTGGCTACGTATCTGCATGAACCAAGTGTAAACTGCAGTCCAAATCCTTGTTTTCTGCCATTTTCATCGTTTTTCTATGCAAGCTTCCATCCTCACTGTCAAGTACACTTGCAAATTTTTTACTGGCATCACTGTTCTTTTTAATGTCTGTTATTGTGGTTTTTCCAACTCCATATTCTCAAGCTAAGCTTGATCCACTAGCACCTATTTTCAACTAATCTATTATTTTAAGTTTATCAGAAACACTGAGAACAACGCATTTATATTTAGTCGCCATTGTGAATGGTACAACAACTTCAGCACGATCTGTTACAAGTGTGAAATTCACAGATTCAAAATTTATATCGCCGATGAAAATGGATTCCGATTCAACAAGACACACAGTCCTGAGAAAAATCCACACAAAACGAACAACCACTCATAATTAAAAAATTAAGCCTCGTTTAAATACCGGCCTCTCTTTCATGGTTGAGCCAGTGTTGCCAGCTAAAACACGCAAAAATTTAACAAAAATAATATTAAAGTATCCAAGACATAGCCAAATATTGTAGCGCCACATCTCTAGTGGACTTTTGAATTTTCCGACTAGAACGCAGTCGGTTAACCGATGTGACGGTTGATTGGGGGACGGATAATCGATGTTCTACTGTATTTAATTCTTTTACTTAAAAATGATTTTCATTAACAGAAATTTGATGAGAATCAATTTAATAAAATGAATTCTGTAAACATTGAAAAGGTGGACACAACTGTTATTAATCATTATCCATTGATTGTTTTAATGCACCATTGCATAAATCATAATTACAATTTAATTTAAGCAGTAAACTGAAATGCCTATTACTACTTAATGAGATATTTAGGAAAGATATATTAATTTTTGTAATTAAAAATATAGGAAATGTTAACTACAAAACAAATTTGATAATTAAACATATAAAATAACAGTTATGTATTTTATTTTTGCATTAAGTTAATATAAAAGTTATTCATAATGCTGAAATTTATATAAAAACATATATTATATATTAATAAAACTAAAAAATATTAATTTTTTTTCTTAAGAATTACTAAAAACTTACACTGTATGTGATTGAACACGAGGTTTGGTAGTGTGACAAACAATTACACCTAACAACAAATGTGGTCTTGATGAATCTAAACCTATAACAACAATAATATATTTAATTTTGTTATTTTGTATAAACTATTTCAGTATATATCATTAAATTAAACTTACCAGGTCCTTTAAATGGCATTAGTACAGTTGGTACAGGTGTGTGGGATGCTAGAGGAATTATATAGAAATCTTTGATCATGCGAGAGCAATTACCAACAACACCATAACGTTTTCTACTATTCAAATAGGAATAAAATTTTCCATAAGCTATTCTTTCCTCGTCATTTGCTGGTTGAAAACGTATTATGATGATTTCCTGTAATTATTTATTATTATAAGCTTTTTGCCTGTATTTGTATGTATACACATTTATAAATTATATTAACATTGAAAAATTTTTGTCATTAAAACAGAATATTCAAAGTATATATAGTAGAGTCCCAATTACCCAAGACCTATTTAACAAAGTTCTGCATTATGCAAAGTAAAATATGCAAAAGTAATCTATCAACAAAGATAAGCAAATGCAGTACAATACAGTTCATTTTATATATCTTGGCTGTGCAGTGTACAGTACTCAAAATGGGGTTTTGAAGTTTTAAAAAGATACTGTCAAGAAAAGTTACTAACCTGACAATATTCTGTAAATTTTAAAAAGATTAAACAATATTAAGATTAAAAATTTTATAAATAAAATTTCTTTTTCAGTTATAAAATCAAACATTTATGGTGATTACAGTAGAGCGTCGTTTATCCGAATCAATTGGAAACTGAGGTTGTTCGGATAACTGATTATGTACAAAAAAATATATTAACCTATCCCGTGTTGAAATTTTTCTCCATTGCATGTCGCTTCACATTGAATTTTTGTTGATGTTAATTAAGCCTAACGTAAACTTTTTAAAATAATAATCGTGGCTATTGTATCGTTAAAAATTATATCTTTATTTCTTACAAACACAATAAATATATAGAAGAATATAAAAACAAAAAAAAATTATACTTTAGAAGTTAATCTAGTATCAAAAACGTTCGATTCAGCACGATACACAGTCCTCAGAAAAACACTACACAAAAGTGCCAGTGCTGCCAGCTAAAACACACACAACAACAAAAAAAAATATTGGAGTAGCCCAAGATATAGCCAAAGATTGCAGCACCACAGCACTAGCACAAATTTAAATTTGTCGACTGGAATGCTTTTGGTTAGCTGATGTTTCAGATAACCGACGCTCTACTGTATAACAATATTCTTGCATTTTATCAATTATTTTATACAAACATTCTGTGTTATTCAAGTTTTTGATTATCTGAAGTATTCTGAAATATAATACCTTCTATAATAGGAACTACAATGTAAATAAAAATGTCAAAAAATAAATAAAAAAATCTGCATTTACCCTATAATTTATTTACATAAAATAAGAAAGATCATCATCAGATTTACAAGTGTCACCATACAAGGTCTGTTCAAAAAGTATCGGACCTTATTTTTTTCCGCGTAAACCAATGATGCGAGAGAGGCCTCCTTCGGTGGAGTTGTGGAGGGGACAGTCATGCACAGCCCTGAATTTTTTCCCGCCTGCAGAAAGCGTCAGTCGTTGGCAATCAGCGTATGAGTGAGGTCATGTAGTGCGCTCTCGTCGGATTTCACTAAGCTGGAAAATGACTGAACAACGTGAGCAGCGATATTACATCAAATTTTGCCAAAAACCTTGGCGATACCCGAGTGTAAACCATTCGCAAGATTCAGCAGGCTTTCGGGGACGATCCTCGAGGCCAAAAAAAGCGCGGCAGGTCCGCAGCAATATCAAAGGTCATGTTGACAGTTTTTTCGACTCTCGTGGGGTGGTGTGTCGTGAGTACGCACCACAAGGCCAAACCATCGCAAAGGAGTACTACCAGGAGGTCCTTCGTCGTCTTTCCGATACAGTGCGACGCAAACGACCGGATCTGTGGTCGATCAAAACTTGGCAGCTCCATCGTGATAACGCATCCGCCCATTCTGCGCATCTGATTCGGGCTTTCGTCGCCAAACACAATACTCCTGTGGTTCGTCACGCTCCGTACTCTCTCCACATGGCTCCGTGTGACCTTTGGCTATTTCTCAAGCTGAAAATGCCGCTAAAAGGAACCCAAATTTAGTCAAGAGAAGATATCATGCGAAATGCGACGGACCGGCTGATAACCATTCCAAAAGATGCGTTCCAGCAGTGTTTCCAGCAATGGCAGGAACGCTGGGAGAAGTGTATACATTACCAAGGAGACTACTTTGAAGGGGATTAGGGTTTTGTACCTCAAAGTCAATAAATTTATTTTTGCCGACCAAAGGTCCGATACTTTTTGAACAGACCTTGTATATTCAACATAAAAAATATACTATATTAAATCTGATTTTAAAATACTTATACCAATTTGCTTATCTAATTTATTTTCTTCCATCACAAGAAACTTTATAATTTACCATATCTAATTTTTTTTTCTTGTTTTCTTATATTTTATTATACTATGTTCTGAATCTACTACAAAAAAATTCAAAACATTTAATCTAAATATATAAAATTACTTGTCCTGACTGACTGAATCACTGATTCATCATAGCCCAGAACAAATCACTGAACCTAAAGAGGTAAAATTTGGAACACGGATAGGGTAAGTCATGGAAACGCACACTAAGAAGGAATTTTTCGAAATTCCCCAAGGGGGAGAGGGAGAGCATTAAGGCTTAACTGGAAAAACGGCTTCTACTGTACTATTTTAGATGCAATTTTTTCTTTTCAACAACGTTTAGTCTTCATTAAGTACTTAGGTGATTACAGTAAATTGATAACAATTCAGACATTGTTATAAATATTTTTATGTATTTCGATTTTTTAACCAAATGTTTGAACTGTTTTAAATTTGAATTTGTTATTGCATATTGGTTCGATTATAGAACGATTGTAAACGTTCCAGAAAATTGATCAAATTGAAAATAGTTCATTTGATTCTCAGCAATTCTCATCATTCTCAGCGTTAGGTGTTATATAACAATTACTATAGTTGTTGAAATACTGAATATAAATGGGGTTCGCTTGCAAAACCTCCACAGGCAAAGTCACAGGTAACAGCTAGTCTAAATATAATTTAAAAACTATTGGTTAAAATTTTATTAATATAATGGTGGTACACCTTATCTTTCAAGAAAATTTATTAAGAAACACAGTTTGTGTATATATATATAAGGTTTTTAATTTTTCCAAAAAAGGAATGATTCGACAAATGAAATAAACCATGATGTGTTGCTCTGTAAACAAAGTTTTTTTATTTTATTAGTTTTAAAGTTACATTACCAAAATAACACTTCTGAAATGTAATAGACATTCTCACCTGTAAACAAAGAAACGACATTTAAAGTTTATTCCTCACTATATCAATTTTTTATTATTATTTATCTTTTCCCGCTTCACCATGTATCAATTACGCCATATTGTTTTTTCTTATGTCGATGACAGCGCGACGCGTGGATAAAGTTGTTTTTTAATTTAATTAATTGAAAGAGAGATTTTTCTCTTTACATATATATATATATATATAATTTTTTTTTTAATTTAAATTGATCATCAAATTAATCAAGTAACTGTAGTATGGTTTGTTGTTGTTATTACTGAAGAATTGGATAATTTCTTTCATAGATTGGAAATTAACCTTTTACTAAAGAATTATTAATGTATTTTCCTTAAAATATCATCATCTTAATAAAATTACAACTGTATAATGTTAAAAAAATTCAATTACCTAAACATATGTTACAAGTGCATGAAGTGGTGTTATGGTATTATTATTCAAAGATGTTTTTAATAAATTTATGTTAACATCAATATGTAAATTACATAATCAAAATTACTAATATAATTATTATTGATATTCTATTATATATGATGATAAATTCCCATTTGTATAATTCAAAAATAGCATTTATCAGAATGTTTTATAAATTAACATTCTCAAAAATTTATAATAAAATATCATGATATTTATAAGCTTAATTACAATTTTATTTGCTTTCCATTCAAATTATATGCCTCAAAAAGTTCATATTTTCAAAAATTTTTCATCATAAACTGATTAAAACTTATTTTAAGAATTTGATTCAAAAACTGACTTAAAATAAAACCATTTTTTCTTCTGAATTTAGTATAAATGATAAAATATATTTTATTTATTACCAACCTTATTTACAGATTGTTTAATTTTAGTAAGATAATCCCACACTTGATCAGGAACAATTCTACCACAAACTTGAATACTATCTGGAATATACTGTAAAAATATAAAATTATCATTAAAATTTTTTAATGTAAATTTTTTTAATTACAAAAATTTATGTTAGAATGATACAGTTGATATATTTATTTCTATAATGAGTGTTGCAAATTTGAGTCCCAGTCCAGGCCAATTCTTTTCTTCCATAACTTCCTAAATTATTTAATTTTAATTTTAATTATTAAAATTAATAAGAGATGGCACCTAATGCCTCCTTCTAGTGACAAATTATTTAGAAATTAATTGAAAATAATTGCAAGAAACTAGCCTGATTTAATCTGGTAATTGTTTGGCTTATTATTTCTATAATTTTTCATAATAATTCATATAGTAGTAGTAATAATAATAATAATAATAATAATAAATGCATGTACAAACATACAAGAACATAATAAATTATTGTTTTTCTGTATAATTACTGAAAATATAAGCATTAATGAAAACAATTAGTCAAGTAAAGATTAATACTTTCATATTCTACAAACCATAGATTTTTTATCATTTTTATAATAATTACTTATACATTACAGATTACTTATACATTATATTACTATACTAGCAGATGAGTCTGGTGTTGCTTGGGCAAAATATAACAAAAGCAAAGAGTAAGATCATTAGATTATTTCATACTTCTAACCCTTCTATTATATTATATTATGGTATTTGATTTATATCTACAAAGGTTATCTTATGAGGTTGCTTGGGCAAAATATAACAAGAGCAAAGATTAAGATTATTAGATTATTTCATACTTCTAACCCTTCTATTATATTATATTATGGTATTTGATTTATATCTACAAAGGTTATCTTATGTAAGAGTTTATGACACCAAGTGCCCAATCTAACACATTTTAAAAATTCTGTAAATTGTGTACAATAGAGGAATAAAAAACTTTAATTTCAAATGTGTTAAATTGGCCACTCAGTGTGAGAAACCTTTATGTAAGACAATCTTTGTAGTTATATAAATCAAATACTACAATATAACAAACATTAAAATAAAAAACATATAAAGAGTTTGGTTATTTTAGCCTACCATTGTCATGTTTATCATGATACTTGGATGGTACAAAATGGCACAATTTCATTGGTCAAGTTGACTCCAAATGAAAATGTGATATTTTAAAAATTTAAGATATTATGTTTTTTCCTAATGTTAACTCTAAGCAACTACCATTTACAGCTTAATATCAAATTTCTAACAAATCAAATTTTGCAAAAAATGGACCAAATATTTAAACTCAGCACCCTCAAAAACCACTTAAATCATAATTTGTGTAAGCTGGTGACCTCATATTATGTAATTTTCCTATTTGAATGCCACCATACCACTGGGTCCAATAAGAAGACAGGAGTGTTGCAGTAAGGTATTGAAATAAATTCAACCAAAAGTAATAGTTGACCACCTCCAAGATGAGAAAATGGTCTACTATTAATATTTGAAAAGTGATCTGTGTTGGCTAAGTTGTGATGCCCACACATGATCAAAGTTGCTAACCTTAAAGTCCAAAAGACTTCATATAACACTTGTTTAAATAAAAAAAAATCTTGTAAAATGTGAGAATAATTGATTTTATGTGATAACAAAATGTTTGGCAAGAAATTGTATAAACTATGTGGGAAGTATGTTCTTGTAAATATTGCATTTATAGAAAAATGACTGGGTTGCAATTTGAAAAAGTTGTAGACCTATAAATTTCTACCGTTGTCCCTCTGTCTGTCCTTCCTTACTCTCGATAAAAATGTTAGATAGATGAAATTCATGACCAAATGTGGAAAGCTTGGAGAAGTAGGAAGTAGGCCCAGTTTAACTATATATGAAATTCCAGTTATGAACAGAAGTAACATCAATTCAAAATTTTCCCTGAATGGAATTAAATAGATGACTGGAACAACTCTATTGCTAACAGCAATAGTATGATATACAGGGGAAAAGACCACCACTAAAAGAATTGAGAATACTGTGACAAAAAATTGCTGTCAGGCATTGTGACAATGTCACAATAAATATTCACTCATTAGAGTTTGGTTTATTTGGTTATGGTAACACAGCACATGAGCAATCTGTCAAAGAAAATGCATCTTCAGAAGACTTTTATGTAAAGCTGGACTCTATTTAGATGTTACTAACAAGAAGAAAATCCAGAAAATTGCATATGGCTCGTTGGTCTTGCCCAAATCCATGACAAAGTAACTACCATTGTTTGGTGGTTTTATCCACTCAGCTACTGGAGGATTATTATTAGAATTAAAGAAAATACCACTCAGAAATGAAAAATTCTGAGTGGCAAATGATATTAATATATGCAACCTGTCACAGTAACAATATAGCACGTCTATTTTGTACTATATCATTGTTGCAGTAATTAAGTGAATGTAATATATGTTTTTTTTTTTTTTAAATTATATCTCTTTTTATAAGAATTATATTTACTTTATTATTTTGCTAATAGATGGTGCTATGCATAAATTAGCAAATCTAATGTAGATAGAAATAAATTGATTTACAGAAATTCAATATATATTTTGGGGTGTGATGAATAACAGTCAACCCCCCTATAACACTGTTGATTATTCGTTTTATATGAATTCCATGTTGTACGAGTCACTTAGATTTTACAAATACGTGTGCTGGGCTGTGAACGACTCACATACTTGTAAAATCTAAGTGACTCGTACAACATGGAATTCATATAAAAATGGAATTATCAACAGTGTTATAGGGGGAGGTAGCCTGTAAATGTAATTGTAGAGTTTCATAGTAATTGGTCAAACAGCCTAGGAGTGTATGCGAACAAACAAACATATATTCTCATTTATATATATATATAAATGAGGATATATGTTTGTTTGTTATATATATATTATAACTATATAACTATCTGTAATTATTTAAAAGTTTTATTTTTTTATCAGTTTATTTGAAAATGTAAAAAATTAACAATACCTGTTCTAAATAATCTGTTGTACCAGATACTTTATATGCTGTAGTTACAAATTTTGAAACATCCTGCATAGCGATAAAACCTCTCCATACAGAAGGATAAGTCTTATTGTTTTGTGTAGATGTTGAAATAAAGTAAGATGCAACAGTTGAGTCTGGTGATCTAAAATTAATGAAATTTTTATTACAAAATATTTAAATCCATGAAATTAATGAAGAATTTTCTTTAATGGTATTTAACAAAACATATATTATAATTTAATAAACTAATTAAACAATTTATTTGAAGATATTTCAAACTTGTTTTTGTAGAACTTTAATAGCTTAAAATTATCTCTAATTATATTATAGTATTTCCTTTGTTCAAACACTATATAGTGTAATCACTCAACCACTTGGCATTTTTCATCATTAACTTTTATTCAAGTGATTGCACTATATAGTGTTTGAACAAAGGAAAAAATACCGACACAGTTTCAAGAATGTTATATTATAATACATTAAAAATTATTTAATTGAAAATATTTTTTCCCAATTAAATAATTTTCTAGATACAGTCCAACCCCTTATTTACACTTTCCAGGTAATCTCTAAAAAAGCATAAATTAAACAAACGTATAATATATGCATAATACATTTTGTTTTTACTCAAGATACTATATACTATCTTTAACTCTATGAAAAGTTTTGTAAGTTAGAGAAATAATAAAAAAGTCAAATATAGTATTTAAAAAGACAGTAAACTATTTGAAAGGAGGATGACCAAAAGCACCAAAAGACACAAATGTGCAGAAAAATTTCACTCAACAGCAACTTTTGAAATCCCAAATAAGTTTGTAACTAAACCACACAGAAGAACTAGAGAAGAAGCATAAAGATAAAACTCAAAACCTTAAATTAATGTTTGATAAGGTAATATCTGTACCAACATATATCAGAAACCAATCTACCACCATATTTTTGTTCCATATATCCATATATATATATATCTGTAAACCTCCCCCATATAAGGAGGTCACAGAGGCTTTCTACTTTCAGATCCTAAAGAAGGAGGGCTTTTATGCATTGTACTAGTATGCTTGACACTGTAAATGAACTGAATTACATAAGGAAGATAGTGAATAATATAATGGATAATATTAAGTGGTGTTAAGTAAATTTGTTAAATGAGTTTTTAATTAATAGAAATTTTGTTTTTATTTACTCAAAAAGTAGTTAATAGAACATTCTAAAACAATTTAAAACTTTATATTTTGAAGATTTATTAATAGTAATTGTAATTCATTCAATTTAGTTTGTCTGCTGTTTTAAGGTCAGTTATTAATCAAGCATTTTTATGCAATGACATGAATTTATACCAACTTAATGATCTTTTTATATGTGGAGGTGCCATGCAAAAACAAACAAGTCCACTCTAAACAATTGTTGGAAAAATGCAAAAAGCTATTATTGAATTTATTTTACACTTCACATCTGTAAAAATGTATTATTTTTTTCATTTTGTATCTAACATCAATATTTGAAGGCAGCTTTTGATAGGAATATAGTTAGTATTTAATTATATGACATTAAAATACGGACATGTTTCTTTTTGCTTGGACAGGGTGGATATGTTTTTTTTTTTTTGCATGAACTATGTTAGGATATGTTTCCTTTTGCCTGGCCACTATATTCTTTTTCATTTTAGGCTACTACTTTGACTTATCAAAAAAACATGGCATTTTACAAAATAGGGATGAACAATAAATGACTTCTCCCAAACAATCACACACAGGTTCCCATTATTTTCTTCTTTTTCCAGGTCATCTGCTTCAAGTTTAATTCTGTTTCGTAACACTTGTTTATACCATGAAAAACTTTCATCATTTTAAATTGATCCAATGTCTTTTTTCTTGGCAGCTGACAGAGGGTGCCCTACAGGTAGTTGCTCGACTGGCTCCTCAAATCTCATCCCAAAGATAGCACTGTAATTTTGTATTTTCTTCTTTGCCCATACTCCAACAGTTTTAGGTTTCTTTCTAGATCCAACATTGCCTTCTTCTACACTTATCAAACCATCTTCATCTGTTTTCGCTCAATTATAACACTGAAATACACTGTATAATAAAATGTGTACTAATAAACAACATTTTAATATCAAAATCTCTGTTCCAACAGAACAACAAAATGACACAACAAAAACAAAACCACCTGTTGCATTCTGGAAGTCAGGTGACTCAATCATAACTCATTGGCTGGGGCAGACTGAAATGGATATGTTTTGTTCTGCTTGGAACACATGTAAAGAGATGTTCTTTTTGTCAATTTTCAAAGCTCAAAAAGCGTTCCATGCATATTTTTTTGAATGAAACTGATTATAACAGTAGATAGGAATATGGCTGAAGAAAAAAAATCAATTATAAATTCAACTTTGATTTTTTGTGGATTTGTTTGCTTTTGTGTGGCACCTCCATATATAAGCTTAGATTGTATATGTATGTTTTAAAACATGACAATTTTGATAACATTAAATAACTTAAAACAATTTCCATTATTAAAATAAGCAGTTTTTACTATGTATGCATATTTCATCTTATGCAAATCTACCTTTAATCAAAAATATGATTAAGTTTAAAATTATATATAGAATTTAAGCATATGGATAGTATATACATATTGAATAAATTAATTGTATAATTTAATTAAAATAATAATAGTTCAGACAAAGTGACATAAATATTATTTATAAATAAATATGACATTTCTGCTTACAATTTGTTTTCATAAATAGAAATTAAATAACGGTTAAAATTAGTATTCATTTTCATAAATAGAAAAATAATGACTAAGATTCAAATAATCTAGTGGTGAATTCCCAGATGGAAATAAATGTTATGACCAAATAAATTAAAAAGAGTACATGAAAATTTGTTTTTGACTTTCTTGGACATTTAATTCTCGTCACATGGCCTAAATTTGAAACCTTTAATCTTCTCAATATCAATAGATTGTCTATATTTTCTGTCAGAGAAATAATTTATTTTGCTATGATTTTATGATAAATGAAAATATAATGTATAGTAGTAGATTGTCTATATTTTCTGTCAGAGAAATAATTTATTTTGCTATGATTTTATGAAAAATGAAAATATAATGTATAAGTCGATAAATTTAATTAGTTGAAGGAACATATCTGATTACTTTTCATTTAAAATATGCCGTACTACAGGATATACGTTACTTTTCTAAAAATTAATTTGCTGGTTAAAAACGTCTTAAATATGAAAAAAAAAAACATAACTGCGTTGATCTTGGATGAAATTAACGAGTAATCTAAGAATATTTACTGTAATTTTTTAAAAAAAGAAAACTAATTTAGACGTATTTATTTTTAGTGAATTTTTGCCTTAATTTCTAAAACATATAACGAAAAATTGTAACATTTTTTAAAAAATAAATAAATGTAAGTTTAATTTTAATTAATAAAATAATTAACTATTGATTTTTATTAAAATATAGAGTCAATGATAAGGCTTTTCTCTAAATTCTCAAGCATTAACAGCTCAATAATTTACATTAATGATCAATTAAAATTTGTTCGATGACTTCTGGTTAACGATACGACAGAGTTTTATGCATTTAATTACAAAACTATAATTAGCGGCTGCTATAAATGAAGTTTATAAGTAATTTTGTACTGATTTTCTAATAGATTAAGCTTAATAATGAGAATTAAAATTTAAAGTCTCTATACTTATAATTTCATGAATTTTAAACTAATCATATATTAATATATTTAAAATAAAATCCTCGTAATATAGCCTAAATAAAAATATAATGTAATATAATGATAAACAATTTATAGAAAGTTTAGAAAGTTTATTGATGTTTCGAAGAATAGTCATATAAAATTTAAAATCCACTGAAATTTATAANTATACGTATTTTGGAAATGTTGAGTCGGATTAGTCTAGAATCGATTAATTTTATGGAAGAAAATCTTTCAAACAGCCGTAGTCCGTAAACTTGATACGTGTCGGGTTGTGATTGGAAGGATTCGTAAGAAATCGGATTCCTAGAGAATGGAACGTATCTCTATCTTATAGGGGGGTCGACTGTATATATATAATTTCATTATCCTTATATTTTATTTTTCAATTATTACAACTTACAGCTAAGAAATAAGATCCTTGTCCCATTATTTATTATTTAAACCTAACTTTCCTATCATATACATAGGCTGGTTTTTTTTTCAAGGAAATTACTCGGTGCTAAATTGGAGCTATATGCTGGGTGCTTACAGGTGGTGAAAACTTTCACCTCTTTCCTGAACTGAAAATGTGGCTAGCAGGGCAGAGGTTTGAGACTAATGACGATCTTCAAAACAACATTGTTAATGCCATCTCAATTCATTGGCAGCAACATTCTGACAAGGAGATGGGAAAGCTCATCCACAGATATGACAAATTCCTCAATCTTCATGGTGATTATGTCAAAGAGTAACCATGTTTGTACCTAACTTTTGGTAATAAATTCATTTTGTTATTTGCACTTGTATTCGTTTTATGGACCATTGGAGCTTTAGAAAAATGCCCTCATAGTTTCCCAATCTTCCAATAATTACTAAAGGTAAGGATATTTGTTAAATGTTCAGAAAGCAATGTATTCAGAAAATTAGCTGCTACACTAAACAGATTCCTGACCAGCCACCAATAGTAACTGATGTAGGTGAAGCTACTTGAAAAGTATTTGGGATTTCAAAAGTTGCATCCTAGCACTATTAAAACTGTAAAAAATGGCAGATTAGGACCAGCAATATCATCTAAACTAGTAAAAATTTATTTTATTCTATTTCTTCTTTTTGAAAATATCATTTTAAAAATTACAGATTCATCAAAAAAATGTAATTTATATATAAATTATAGAGAAAAATTTGGAACTGAAAAAATATGACATAAATTGCAGAAAAATGCTAATTCCAGGAACATAGTTCTACTGTATTTCTTTCAAAGTTTAAAAATCAATTAGAATAGATGAAAATTAAAATAAAGTGGAGTATTATTAGTCTATAATGTTTGAATAATAATTCAATTTACTCAATATTAATATTTATTAATTAATCAATATATTATATTCAGTTAAAGTATACTGAAAATATACCACCTTAATGTTGAACTGACTTCTTGATCAACAGAATCATCTGTGTTAGATTCTTCAACCTTGCTGGCAGTTTTCTTGGAAACAGCTGCCTCATTATCTGGACTTGTTCCTTCTTCACCTGAAGCAAATTCTTTAGATATTGCATGTGCTATGCGAACCTTTTTTAACGGCATTTCTTCAATTGGTGGAGCCATTTTCCCTGTACAGATCTTGCAGTTAAGATCAAATAAATGAGAGCGATGTTTATCAGTAGTGTCTGGTAAAGGTTCATTAATTTCTTCTGCCATTTGTTTTAACTGTTTCTGATCAGGAATCTGAATAATAATAATAAAAAGACATACTTAATAGTTTTTAATGTAATGCTCTGTTGAGAATTCAAATTAACTATTACTAAGGGTATTTGAATCAATGAAAGGTCAAATTTGGAAGTAATACAATAAAGAATAATGCCAGCTTTTTACAAAAAAATCCATTAATTTTTATTTTCTTCTGTTTAATAAGCAATCTTTCTAAAGCATAATGCTATTCCAGTTTTTCAATCAATGCAAATGCTACATAATAACTTTGAATTACCAAGAATGCTTGATTCAAAATCTATGTTATACACATACAGATATTGGTTACATTATTATCTTACTTAATGCAATTGCATTTACTTTCCAATATGATTTAATACTAGAATTCTCCAAAAATACAAATTATCAAAATAAAAATAAACAAAGACCATGTCAAATGTAAGACCCAAATAATTCATGTATATACCTTAACATCTTCGTCAACTTCAACTTCACCTTTATGTGTCTTCTTTATTATAGGAGTCATTGTAGCCTGTTCAATCTGTTCTCTTTTAATCATTTCTAACATCTATAAAAAAAAAAAAAAAATGTTTAAATATTCAAACTACATCCCTTAAATAAAAATAATATAAATAAAATAAATTTTAATGTGATGTCCAGTATCTAGTATCAACACTTCATGCTGTATCAAAAGAAATAAATTTTAACTTACGTGTTTACTTTCCCGTTCTCTCCATTTTGCTAACTCATTGGATGCCAGTTCTTCCGGAGTCATTTTGACTAGCTGATGTGCAGTAATAATTCCCTTCACAATCTTTCGAAATAGGCCCTAAAAATTTTTTTAAATTTTTGATTAAATACTCCATTTATAACTTAATATAATATTACCAAATATAAATGTAAAATAAATTAGATCTATTCTTATGAAGATTTAAACATTAAGAAACAATTTATATACCAGGGCTGTAAATTTAAGTCAGGGCTTAATTCTTGATAACACTAGTTACTGTAAAAAATAATACATCACTATCATTCTTTTCAAGTGACATAATTACTTCTGACATTGTTCTTCTGTTCCCATAGCAACATTGTTTTCGTGGGAAACAAATTTGTTTCCCATAAAAACAAATGATTACAAGATAAAAACAAAAAAGTTAGATAAAACTTCAACCTATCCATGGTAAAAAAAACTAAAGAATGTTCTAAGAAACTGCAGGGAGCATGTAAAAACCAGAAAATGCCTTAAAGAATTGTTTCAAGATGGGTGAAACAATTCAGAAACAGCTCGAATTAACTATGATCTGAAAAACTAGTAAAGAATAAATCTCAAATTACCTCTTTGGAATTGCTTTTACAGACAATGGACCCTTTGCAAAATTTCTGTATAGATAAGTTTTAGTCATGGTCAAAAAATACCTGCATGGAAAATTATTCCATGATAGCAAGATAAAATCATTCAAGCTTTTCAGTAATCAACATCACACACCCAGCAAAATAATTCTGCATATGGAGTACGACAATTTTCAAGGATATGTAGAAAGTTTTAAACACATTATAAAATGAGTTTGTACTAACTGATTTATATTAATAAAATTTTATTTTCTGAAAAGATTCCATTGCTGTGACTTAATTGGTACCATCCTCCTATAACAAAACATATAAATGTAAATAAAATTTTTATATTTAAGTCAAATATATCTCTTTACAATTTACAATGAATTTACAAAATTAATTAACACATTAACTGCCATCCGATGCACCAGCAGTCATAGTAATTAGGGCCGTTCAGAGCCATACAACCGCTGGTGGTCGAAGCCAACTTTATAGATATGCACGAGAGGCTACCACTAGGATGTAAAACATCTTATGAAGCCAGGATAATTTAACCTTGAGTGAAACTACAATGATTATAGTGAAGTCGACCAGTTGTATGGTTCTGTATGGTCCTAATTAGTACTACCACCAACACATCAGATGGCAATTAACATGTTAAAGCCTTAACAAATTTACTCTGATATGTACAGTACACTCCAAATAGGTCTATCTAGCAAATAATCAATATTTATTCACCAGGAAAATTATGAAGCATTTTATTATGATAAACTATGTTTCATATGAACATCCCATAAAATATGAATGAAAATATAAAAACTGTGAGGTTTGGGATATTTGCCTATTTTATAATTTGTTTTTGACTTTAACATTCTACAAGGAACATCCATTACAAAAAGAAAAAATACTTCCATGTAAGACAACTCATCAACATTTTGATTATGTGCTGATGGCACATATCATAAGCAAAAATAAAGAACTAAATCACCAATGCAGGAAAAATAATTCTCTCTCCAAATTTGGACTATTCTACAATGTGATCACCAGACAAGAGTTCCTCATGAAAGGAAAGAGGAGAGAGAAAAAAAAATGCAAGTAATATTCTACTAGAACAGAGTGAACCCAAGATATGGGAGATGTTGATTTACTGTTGACCATCTATCAGTTGCCACCCACCAAAACTGATCCTTAGTCACTATCTGGATACCTCCCAACTAATAATCAATTCACTTTCACACTTCCAACCACTTTGCTAACCCAGATATCATGTAAACTCTCTCACTCACAGATGATGATAAATATATTTAAAGATTTAAATATATATCAATACAAGGTAACTTTCCATTGAGATCCATATGACACACCTTCCAATGTGGGATGTCCCAAATAATCTTTGAAGTTCGCTTAGGCCAATTGCTTAGACCTGACTACATTCACATATACTCAAACTGTGAAAAATCACAAAACTATCAAAATATGAAGAATAAAAAATGTTAGATCATCATATTGAATGAATGTTGCAGTGCAATAATAACTCAGAGAAATCCAAGCACATATATAAACAATATCTGTATACTAAACCAACAATACTAAATCCATCTGAAAAACTTTGTTTTCAAGTTAATAAACTCATCATTAGGAAACACATTATAGAATTACATTAAATATTAAATATACTGTAAAAATTTACCTGATTCCGTGGATCTTTTATGTTAAACATGAGGCTTCTATATTTAGCTTTATATTTGATACCTGTATCTTTAAATGATCTATACAATTCTTCTTCTATGTGATTAGTAATCTTTTTAATTTCATCTTCTGAAATATCTATGTCATTTGCATTGTTGCATCTGATAAAATAAAATGTAAACAAGAAAACAAACTTTAATATAAAAATTTTTCACATAATTATGATAATAATAAATCAATATGTTTCATTAGAATAATTACATTTCACAATGGACAAAGTTTTAAAAGATATGGCAGAAAACAACTAAAATAATATCTAATTTTCCAATTTTTTAAGCTTAATATTTTAATAAATTTAATCTTTCAGATAACTTCTCCTTTATTTCCTGATTCTATTTTTTATGAAAAATTTTGTGCAAGCAGCATTAAGAGATAAATGACATAATTAATAGTGCTTGTATTATCAATCTGAGTTTCTATTTGTTCTTGCTACTATTATATAAACAGTTTTTCATCTATTTTTAATTTTACTACTTTTGATTATAAACTTTATTTTAATTTTACAGAATCTTAGATCTTTAACTTCATTCTTAAAATAAATCATTCTAGANAAACGGAATAAAATATCAATTTCTTCAGATTCTTCGTTATTAAATAAGAATTTATGAAATATGATCGATAAATGCATGAAACATGATATATTGACGTAAGTCAATAAAGAATTAGACTTAAATTTAATCGTATTGCTGTTTAATATTTAACGATTTTTCATAATCATGTACCTTACATGATTTCTGATTATCATATATTTTAATAAATTTCTGTTTTTGATAAATTCGGACTATTATGTACTATTGAAATAATGTCGTTAGATCTCATGGCAGCTCCGACCGATCAATCTCATTAACGATAATTGTCTGTTAATTATAAACATAATCACAATTGACACAATCCATTTATAAGCAACGCGATAGCCCAGTTTAATAAATCTTTCAATGAAGAGGTTTGAGTCTAATACTTATATTGAAATGATTTCTGGTCGTCGTTGTCTTCATCTAATAAGCAAAGGTCACAACATTAATTAAAAAGAAAAACGTTCTGACAGACGAAGGCTCTCGGGTATAACTTCAATAACGAAAGAAGTTCCTGAGATTCTAAACTGCGATATAATTATACTGTCGACGATCCGAATTCGAATTCAAGCAAACAACTCTAATAATATTTGAAATGTCATCTGTACCGTTCTTTGTCGGATTCCATTTCTTGTCAACATGTTTACCCTTATTGTGTGCATGGTAAACTGAGGGTCGGCTCAATTAAAAACGGCTGTTTAGTTACCGATAGAAAGAAAAAAAAAAGCCGTTAAAATAGTTATGTTTAATAATAATGAGAGGAACTGAGAAGGTCTTTTTCCACACCCAATATATCAGTGACTGATTGGGTAGAAGTACAGATCACTGTAGTCAGGAGCAAATTTACATAGGGGCTAATAGGGCTTTAGCCCTGACACCCCAAGTGTAAGCGCCCACGAAACTTGATTTATTATCATAAAATTTTAATACATTTTTATTGTTTAACATTCAACTCAGATTTATCTACTAAAAACTTGTATAAAATACCATGTTGGCATGAATAATAATTTTTAGTCAGAAATTAATTTTAATACATTTTTATTGTTTAACATTCAACTCAGATTTATCTACTAAAAACTTGTATAAAATACCATGTTGGCCTGAATATTGGTCAATGTTTTTCCCCAGTTTCAAAGGAAGAAAAATTGCTCTTGACCTATATTTGAATCCCGTTAAAGATTTTTTTTCGATTTTGATAACTGTATGCAATACAAATTATACAGAGTTAAACTGACACTAAAATTAAAGCACGTCATTGTTTAGCAATACTAAATACCATCCAAGTTTTGATCTGCACAAGCCTGCAAAGTATCAGAACTGCAAAGTATCAGAACTCAACTGTTCAAAAACAATCAACTAAACTATGATGACTGTTTTTATCATATTTAACAGAATCAGTCAGTTTTGGTAACTTTTATTTTACTCCTAGGAGTCTCTACTAATTGAGTGATTGTCAAAAAAATAGGGGAAAGTTGATGGAAATTTATTGTAAAATTTATTTTGTTGTAAAGTTTAATGCTCAATAATCTTTATTAATTTCATTTTTATCAATATCAAAAAAAAAAAAAAAGTAATAAGTGAATCGAAACACAGCACAGCACTAAAATTATCAAACAACACCTGAACCAATCCATTTTATGATATATTTGACATTGAAAACAGCAATAACAGTTACGTGACTAATGCAAAATACATATGAAACGTCAATTTCCTCTAGTGAATACTCAGATTTCATCAATTTTCAACAACAATAACGTACGAGGTNCAAAAAAAAAAAAAAAGTAATAAGTTATAGTTTGTCATTTATAATATAGATATCAATTTAAATATTTCTTTCTATAAAACAAACTTCCAATTGAATAGATATGATTTAAATGCAATTTGTAAAAATTACTAAGAAAGCAATAAAAAAATTATTTATGCTGATTGATTCCTAAACATTTGTAAACAAAAATTCAAAAAGTTTTATTTCTAACTAATTTTGAAAAGAAAAAAATTTAATTGGATACAACAAATTTTGATAATTGTAAAGATAAAAAAATAATAAAAATTCCACATATTCGTGTAAAAGTTACAATAACAGTAAACTTAAGAATAATTGTTAATAAAGTCACATTTATAAAGAGCTGTAAGATATGTTGTGTTATCAACATGTGCTATTCAAGGAGGCTGAAGATCACAATGGCAATGAAATAGGAAAAAAACAATGATGACATTGAAAGTTTGAATGAACATGGTGATGAAGTATTGTTTCAGTGGTAATGGTTCAAGTTTTCAACATTTTTTAATGCAAATTAAAATAATAATAAAAGGCTGACATATTTAGGTCCTAATATTTTTCAAGAAGTATAGATTCCAGACTTGGGAGTCAACTGACATTCAGGCCAATACAGTATATTATTAATTAATAATAATAATAAATTATGTATGAACATGTGAATTCTGAATATTAACTTTTACTTTGTAAATTTCTATAATACAAAATGTAATAAATAAATTATAAATAAATATCTATACCTGTTTAATAAAATTCCTTTCAAAGTATTTCTAACGTTTAAACGAACGGGTTCTGGCTTTTGTTCATCATCTCTTCTTGAAATGGAATGAATTACTTTCTGATGTTTTACAACTGACAAATAAAAACTGAATTAATATTTTTAAATAATAATTAATTTGAAATACTAAATTACTATTATTTTTTAATCAATTCTAACTATCGTTATTATTAATTAAATACTATGAAAGGTACTATAAAGGTAAATTTTATCATTTTTAAATTATATAAAATTTATACTCAAATGCAAACTGGTTAATGAAAAAACTAATTTTTGTATTTCGTAGCTTTTTAAATAATTTTGTTAAAAAAATATTAATATATCTTCAGTTTAAAATCAGACGATTATTCCTGTAAAAATTTTTAAGGTTCAAAATAATGTATTTTCAAAGATACTAACCTATATTATCAGATGAAACAGCTTTATTTCCTTCAACTGAATGATCTTTCACTACTTTTTTGACTGAACTGTTTGACTTTGCAGACACTATAGAGATATTCTGTGGTACTATAGATGTCACCTTTGACTCAATCTTAAAATAAAAATTTAAACAAAATGTTAGCTTTAGTTTGTTTTTTAAAATACTGGTATAATGAATATTACTTTATTCACTAAATAAAAAATTTTAAACTGCTGTTTAAATTGTCATTTCTCTTAAATATAAATAATATTTTACAGAAATTCCAAATATTAATCATAATAAACATGTTGTTACAAGAATAACTGAGTGAGACTAAGCAATCATGTCATATTCAACAACCTAAAACAGTGATACAGGTTACTTGAATATGATAAAACAAATCTGCATTAAAAGGTTAAATCTTAATGTTATAATACAGTATTGCCTTGTAATTCAAATTTAATTCATTCCAGGAGACCGTTCAAACTCCAAACCATCATAAGTCTGAATCAATTCTTCCCATTAGAAATAATTAAAAGTGAATTAATCCATACCCAAACCCTAAACAATACACATTTTAATGAACTTAAAACAGGTATTTAAGGTAAAAATAACACTATTAAATGCCCTAATAATAAATTAACACAAAAAAACCATATCTGGTATGTCGTGCTTTGACTTTTGGAAAGGATCAACACCATACAAATAGTACAAAAATTATAATATGTATGGGAAAGATGCTCCTAAACTTTAAACATATCAAATGTGGTTTAAAAAGTTCTGTTCAGGAAATTTTGAACAAAAAGATACAAAATGTATGGGGACACCCAAAAACTGTCAACAGAGAATATTTGCATAAAAAATTGTTAAAAAGCAATGAATAAAACACAATATATATATAATTAAACACATCAAAAATAAAGCAAAAAATGCACTGAAAATACACAAGTGTAATGTGAGACCAAGAGAAGACTTGGATGCACAACAGATGTGTGTTTATGATTTGAGTGCATTTTTCATTGTATGTGTGGTTCAAACTTAGAAGTATTGTTCAAACTCCAAAGTAAATTTTTATCAAATTTAGCATTCGAAATCTGAAGAGTTTGAAGTTAGAGTTGTTCAAAGTACCACTGTATAGCTTCAATAGTTTCATCAACAAAGAGAATGATGTAAATTTGATATTTTATCTTTTATTGAAAAATAAGGAAAAAACTTATACATTGAAAAAAGATGCAAGTTTTACAACTTTTGAATTCCAACATTTTATAGTTAACTATTTCAACTTGTGTACTTAACAATAGTCTTCAAACAAAGATAAATACTGTAGGCCTATATATGCATTGACAGCCAATAGCTGAAGCAGTTAAGGTAACTACCTACTGCTCTGGGAACCTAGCTGTCTGTTCCCAATCCCTCATTACCTGGCTACCCCACAGTGATCCAATTTTCTTTAAAATTTCCTATGATCTGTCTTACTTGCAGTGGCGTAGCATGGGTGTCAGCTGCCCAGGGCAAAGGAAAATTTTGCTATCCCCTTATTTAGGTATCTCAATTTAAAAGACTAAAATTCAGTTTTGTCACAGAATAAGTAATGAAAAATCTGTGCTAGTGTTGCCACCTTTTTAAAATCGCTGACCCGGAGGGCAGGTGAGGCTTGTTCAAACAGATTCTTGATGCATGCACATGTCATTTTGCAATGCGAAGAATAATGTGCAGTGCACGCCGGTTCTAAATCAGTTATAGTTAGCGACTAGGGAGACTTGGGTAGGAGTAATGTAAGTAGAGGATTTGATCCCGGGATCTTGAAAATCGGGATCCCGGGATCCCTACCACTTTTCAGTCCCAAAATTTTCGAAATTAAGTTTTCCTAATCCCGAGATTTTCAGGATTGACATCATTTTAAAAAAGTTGCAAAATAGACTGCATGAAGCGAAACATTCAGTGCCAGTGCTTTTAACAGAATTGCTTGCCTATCATTTTAATATAAAATACAAGAAATTTTATTCCAAGCAAGCAGCAGAAATTAACCTAGCGGGCTTGCGATGCTTGCTTGGAATAAAACTTCTTGTATTTTCAACTAAAATGATAGGCAAGCAGTTCTCACTGGGTTACTTGGTAATATACTTCATTTTTGTATTTTTGAATTTTCGCGGGCGCCAATCGATTTTCTGGCGCAGTCGAGAGCACTACTCAGTGCGTTTTACCTGTCAATGTGTCAGCCATCTTGTTTTGCCAGTGTGGTTAATATAGACCCGACGCCTCTCGCTTAGGGGGGTCGACCTTAGGTGAAAAGGTTACGACCCCCGCCTTGCCCGTGATCTGTCAGGATGATGCGAGAAAGTCTTTTTACGTTTGGGAGTAGTGGTTTGCTGGATGCTGAGAGACTCACACAGAGACCGAATTTACAAAATTAACGTGTTTATTTTTAGAAAGGCATGCTTACAATGATCGAAACAATCGGGATTGTAGCCTTTACTCCTACAATCCCGATCTGTGTCGACCGGACTGTTTTCTTCCAACCTCCCCGTGTCCTCGAAGCTATAACTAGAACGGGCTTATAAGTATTTACTAACGATTCCTCCAACTTCCATCAAACCTAAACGCGTTTTCTCAGCAGCTGCATATATGTGCAACAAATTGAGAAGCAGACTTGGTGATGAGACACTGGATGCGTTGTTATTTCTCAGATCATATTTTCACAATTCAAATTAGAATGTTCCTATTTGATTAGTTTTCTTTATATTTAAGAAAAATGTGACTGATAATATTATTTTTAAATACTTTTTTCTAAGAAACTTACTATACTACTAATACTTACTAGGTTGTTACATGAATGTCGTCTGTTTAGTAGATGTTAAGAGAGATTTTTGTTAATTTTCAACATTTATTTGCGTAGTTTGTTACATAAAGGTTTTTTCAATTTATGTCAGTTTAAAGAGATCTCAGTGATGCTTAGAAAAGAATAAATTTAACATGAAGACTGAGTGATTTTTAAGTCTGGTTAGTCTGACTCTAAGTCTGATTACTTAGAGTGATTAAATTAGTTAGGTGTATACCGTAAAATATGTTGATTTTTGTCTAAATTTTGATTTGTTGATTTCTGTAAGATTTTCTTATTTTTTATTAATCCTCAATACCGAAATAATCCCAGGATCCCGGGATTGACTAAGTATAATCCCGAAATCCCGGAATTAGAAATAAGGACCGGTATCGAATTCCCTAAATGTAAGTAACGTAGATGACTTAGCTCTATTTATTGGATATTGGAGGTGTATATGTATATGTATTAATCATACAAGCAAAATATATATATATATATAAGATGAAATGGTTCAAATTTTTACAAGATATTATTATTATTATTTATTGTGAAATTTTGCCACCCTTTAAAATGTAATTTTGCCACCCCATAAAAAGTGCCACCCCTGCCGCCTCCACTACGCTATGCCACTGCTTACTTGTATCCTCAAAAGATTCTCTTATAACAATTTCAAGATTTTTTTATAATAATTTCATGACATGATAAGTGATGTCAATGAAAAGCTGTAATTGCTAATGATGTAATCCATACTAATCATGGGTTTGCCCATAATTGATATGGATGACATAGAATGGAATGGGTATGTAAAAAAGGACCTTTTAATGTTCAAAATAAAGAACAAAAAACTCCATGTTTAGCATTTTTCATCTAAGCTGTGGTATGTAAAAGCTAATTACTTCTGTTATTTTTGCTTTGTGTAATTCTGAAGATTGTTCCAAATTGCTATTTTAATTTGCTTTTATTCTATACACAGCTAATTATTTAAACTAAAAAATGCATTACATTATTTCCAAAAACAAGAATAAATTACATAAAAAAATCAATATTCTGTTTGATAATTTTAATTTTAAAATATTTAAATATTTTTAACAAAATTTAGAAAATGTTTTTGAATTTTCTTTATATATTCACAAATTACTTGAAAACTTTATAAAAATTAATTAATAGTTTTCAATCTCTAAAACAGTAGAAATTCTATTCATTCAATATCAATTGATACATAAATAAACACCTTATTTGATATCTTCACACTCTTTACAGAAGTAACTTTTGGTGGTGCTACTTTTTCTTCAGTGATATTTGCCTGTTTTGACTCTTCATTCTTTCCTATTATATTTAAATATATTTAGAAAACACAATTTAAAATTTCATTACAATCATATTAAAAAAAAAAAACATTTCAAAACCTTCAATGCATCTAGGGCACCACCATTCTTTTTTTGATTTTTCAAGCTGCCGTCCTTGCTGTTGCGTCACACCCACACAATTACCATGAAACCAATCTTCACAATGATCACACTGTATCATAAACCTTTTAAAAAAAATTTTAAACATTAATTGTTATTCTGATGAGCAATATAGTATAATAAATAAAAATTTAAACAAGTTTTTCACAAATAATAAATAATAAATAATTTATAAATTCATAAATATATGTTTATTTTATGCAAATTAATATACTAATAATGAAACTTTCGATTTGTTAGGTTGATCTATACAAGATTTAAATTCAGATCAGCCTAACAAATTCAAATTTTAGTTATTAATACAAAACCCTTAAGTTGCATATTTTGGCAAATGGTATATTTTAAACTTGTTTCATTAAATTTAAAATTTAAACTTTAAAAAAAGATAGCTGCATTGTTTCACTTCTATAACAATTTTTTTTTAAATCTTTCCACAGTGACCACGACATTCTATTATCCAATTGGAAGTAATGATCTAACAAGGCTGTTATTTAAAATATATTACTGTGCTTCAGTTATGTTCTAATGGACAGTATAAGCTATTGAATTTGTAGAAATGTTAGTTACTCTTCTTGAATTTCTTGAAATTTGTACTCTTCTCTATTCTTCAATCTCTACTTTCTCATGAAAAGTAGTCCATTACACTCGGTGAAAAATCTCTAGTCCAGTGATTCTCAACCTTTTTTTTGTCACGGTACACTTTCAATAACTTAAAAATTTGACGGCACACATGGTTACTTCGGTAAGTACCATAGGACAACCAGTGATGTCATAACATGATTTCTAAACACAATTAGTTATTTAGATCACATTTTCTAAACACCTTGGTAACTACTGGCAGTTACCAGTTACACCGGTTACAATTTCCAAATGCACTCTAGGAAGGAAGAACTGATTAAACTATTTGTCTGATGTCGCTTATGTATGGATATTCGCAGTGGCGGCACATTTCAAAAATCTCACGGCATACTAAAGTGCCGCGGCACAGTGGTTGAGAATCACTGCTCTAGTCAGTACATTAATTTGCATAAAATAAACACATATTTATGAATTTATAAATTCTTAGTTTTACATTTGCAAGTGAAATTCTTTATTTTGTAATGTATCATTTTTCTAAAATATATTTTTCTAACAACAACATAATTCCAAAGTCATATCATCTTTCCAATATGTAAAAAATTTTAATTAATGACAAATTATTTACAGCAGAAATACTATCTAAATTCAGTTATAACCCAGTAAATTGCATTTAACTAAGTAGTTTGATAATTAGAAGCATTTGAATATAGACAGGCAGATTGTCATCTAATAAAAAGTTTAATTATCAACAAATCTGAATTGTATTTTGATATATTTGGACAATATATCAAAAGCAGGATTCACATACAGCTATTGTGAATGTGAGAACATTAAGTTTTCACATATCACAGTTACATTATCTAGACTCCAGATAGTTGATCCTGACATATATGTGTCTGGATCTATAAATTTCATATAAAACCATTTAAATTATTAATTTCCATGAGAACTGATTACTTTATTTTAAAATATTCAAAGTGATTTATTTTTATAACATAAATTAAAGTTTGAATTGTAATAATAACCTTTCATCATATGGTTGTCGACAAATGCACCACAGTCGTTCTGGATCATCATCAGATGTGTGATTTTCTGCATCAGCATCACCTTTTCCTGTCAGTAACTTGATATATTTATTGCCTATATAATTAAAAAATACATACAGATCAGTCTAAATTTTATTCACAGGTATACATTTAATTATATAACATGTTAACTGCCATCCACCGTGCCGGCAGTCATACTGGCTTCGGCCGTACAGCGCCATCCGACTGCCTGTCGTCATATAAACAATGCAGTTTCACTCAAGGTTAAATTATCCTGGCTTCGTAAGACGTTGTTCTACATGCTAGTGGCAGCCTCTTGCAGACATCTATGAAGTTGGTTTCGACCGCCGGCGGTCGTATGGCCTGCAGTAGTTCAACGGCCGGAGGTCGTAGTTTTCTTAAATAAAAATCTATTTTATATCTGATAGTGTTTTTTTTAATAGTAAATAGTTTAAAATATCAAAAACTAGTTTTAATTATTCTTTTTTATCACATATAAAGTAAATAATATTACAAAAAAAAAATCAAAGTATATAAGCGCAAAATAATATATCTATATATATAACCCATTCAACGGGTATCCGTCTTCCGTCTGTCCCGTAACCGTTTGATGACAGACACTAGAGGCGCCCCTATCATGTGTCATATTTCAAACATTCAAATTAACAATTTTAATTCTTATTTAAATTAACAATATAAATTTTTATTATTCATTTGGCCAATAAATTATTATTTGGTCAATATAACAATATAAATAATTCAGTATATTTGTAATAGGAATTTATTATTTCAGGGGCTTATATCTCTCGAAGGGTTGCGAGTAGGGGTATGGTTCCTTTGACTTTATTGTTAGTACAGGGGTCTACGGTTTGGGGGGTTGCCACCTCTTCATTCGGAGGGTAAATCTTACCATTCGGACTTTAACAGAGCTGTAGAGCATATTGATAGGAACAAAAAAGTCAAAGGAACTGTGCCTCATGGAAATTTGTAAAGAACACCCACTAGGGGGGCATCCCAGGCTACTAGTATTTACAGAAAAAAACATGTGCAGTCCAAACAAATTGTAATATACTTAAATACTTTTAACACATACCATAGATGTAAAAACTTTTAAGTAGGGGAGCATGTCTAATTACAGCAAGTTGTGAAATAAATAGCCGGGGGATTGTAGTCTCCCATTCAAGGCCATACAACCACCGGTGGCTGTTCATATATTTTTCTTATCTTCACTCTGCTGACTGTTATATAACGACTGTTTTATTTACATTATAATAAAATATTAAATATCAAATTTTCTCATTTTAGAGTGTCAATACGCAAAATATCATATTACGGGTGGCAGTTAACATGCTAAGCATTACTATTTATTACATTATAGAACATTATTAAAGTAAAAAATCATCTTGCATTATATTGATAAACTTCAAAAGAATATTCTGTTTTGATTAAACATGATGGAAACATAAAGTCATTCTAGTTTTTCCATGTATTTTTAGCATAAAATACTATCAGCCAGTTTAATTGAAACTATATAAAATTTTAATAGTTCAGATATATCTTACACTACAATTAACACTGCAGTGTGACCCAAAAATATAGATAATCTATATGTTTTTATTTTATTTTTTTAAATATTAAGTATTTTTTAACAATGCAAATGGTAATTATTGTTTAATTATAGCATAATACAACATTATATAATTGTGTTTACAATATATGACAATTACATAAAGTGTTAACACAAAATACTTATTTTGTGATGTCCCAAAACTATAGATAAGTTTAAAGTTTGAACAATAGCAGTCCATTCTAACCCAGCTCCTAATTTTAATTAAATATAAAAGCACTTTACCACTGGTTCATTTAAATTTCTTTACAAACATTTTTCAGCTCTATTTATGAGCCTTTGTCAGGTAAATTGTGTTTGAATTCGGAACAACATAACATCGAACATTTTTTTTCAAATTCTAAATAGAATCAACAAGGATATAGTTAACAAATTTTTTAACTTTAAAATTCTAAATTATTATAATAATAATAAACTATTTCCAAAAAATTAATACAATAACCTCACTAATTAATATTTAAGATTAACAACTGTCCGATATTGTTGTACATATTACAAGGAGTTTTTACTTATCCCAAGTCTCTTTTTTAATAGCTTATCTCCATGCTATTGGAAATCACTGTAGGTCCCTGGCATTAATACATTAATTTCTAGTTGTGTTTAAAACTCTCAATTTTTTCTTTATTCATGGCTGTAGAGGGCAAATGTATCTCATTAATGATTTAGATTCCTCCCAAAGTACCAAAGTTCCTTGTATGGTTGCAATTGCTGCCAAGGCCATGTTTTCTTTCCCTTTCCTTACATCATATTGGTGTTATTTAACACTGTTTTTTAAATTCTTAATTACACCAACATATGCTGTTTTTAGATTAAGCTCTTCATTAACTATTGAGACCCTGTATACTCCTGCTTTAGTTTCTTCTGGGAGTGGATCCTTGTCATTTCACAGCATACAATAAAAATTAGGAGCTCTTTTACATACTATGTATGAGTTCTTTTCTTTGGAAAGCTTCTCCATTATATGCCTGATCTCCTTTTGGTATGTGAACTTTGTACAAACCATCTCATTTGTTTTCATTTTAGTGGTACTGATCTCATTATAATAATTAATCAGACTCAAACTATTTGTTAGAATATCCCAGTTCCTTAGTTATCCTCCTAATTCTTTCTAATTCTGCCTCCTTGTCCACCATACTTGTGTTGTACACGTGGGCTCTTTTAATTAAAGCCCTGAATGCGAGCACTTATATCATTCCAGGTCATTTGATATGGCCGGTATATATAAGAGACTGAACATTGGTTTTATGTACATCTTTGTGCTAATTTCTTTTGATCCTAAGGTAATGTCAATATCTAGGAAATGCACATTACTCTTACTTCTCTGTTCAAGTTTTAGCTTCAATCCTTTGTTGTTGTCATTTACTATGTCTATAAGTCTGGAAATACTATTTTACTTCCTCCGTAAATTAAATACATCATCAATATATCTTTTATACATTAATATGGCCTCTTCAAATTCTGGGATGGCTTGGTTTCTTTAATCCTTACCATTAGTTCACATAAAAGGCCTGACATGGGGCTACCTTTTGGTATCCCTTTATGTTGTCCAAAAATTCTGTTATTGAAGGAAAAAAATGAATAGTTTCAGATTAGGTCTGCTATTTCTAGCATGTCTTCTCTATGTCTGTCTGGTTCTGGAACTTGTTGGTATAAAAAATTGATAAGTGCTTCAAGAAATGGCTGAAGTTCAATAGATGGGTACATGCTTTCATAGTCCATGATTGTGGCAAGCTCTTCATCCATTAAAATGATGTTATGTAGAACACTTCAAAAGGGTTGCTTATGTTGAATTGATATTGTGGTAAAAGATTTTTTTTGTAAAAACCATGATGTCATCAGAACGAAAACAAATTTTCAAATATCTGACGTTCCAAATATTGTCGAACCTGAAGAAGGACATTAAATATAGCCGAAAACATTAGTTCGATTAAAGAAAATTGCTAGAAAAAGTGTCAAAGGTTTTATATTACTTAATTATCTTTAATTTTGAAATTATCAAAAGTCAATGTAAAATAATTTGCATACACAAATGAAATCATTTACATTTCTCTTAAATTCCTAACAATTCTGAAAAACATTGATTATATATACTTTTGGGACACACTGTATTTATAAATTACCTTCTAAAAATCATTTACTGTAATTTATAAAATTGGCATATTCTAGTAAAGTCTTCATTATGTACACTTCTCTAACTGGAAATCTTTAGTCAGCAGATTTTTTATTTCAAATAATTCAAACTTTATAAAATGAAAATTTAAACTACAGCTAATTGTACTCTTGTAAAAAAAAAAGCTTAAAAATTTCTTCCTTATTAACTAATGAGTTTCTTTTAAAATATGAATAGTCTAATTATTATCTGGTCATTTCAACAACTAGTAAATCTAATATTACATAATAATTGAATAAAAACATTGCATTGGACAACTAGAAAATCAAGTAACAAAGCTTTCATCCTATTTAATAACTTGTCTCATATTTTACTTTAATTTCATAAATAAATGTAATTGTATTTATTAAAAATGTTTTCTTTGATAAGTTGTTTGCATTAAAAGAATTACAAAACAAATTTTCTTAATAGTATGTAAAATTACTGGATGATCAAACAAAAAGTTTACTTGCAACTAGAGTTAGCAATAGCAGTGAAAAGTTTCAAATGTTATCCTTAGAATCCACAGTAATTAAATGTTCAAGATTTAAGCATTTGTCGCACTTCATAGTAGGATATTGAAAGTACAGCTGGCCCATCAGATCACCAAGTCTACTCTTTGCATATAAACTTTTAATTTGATCATCTGTCATAATGCAGCTTACAAACAGAAACTTGCAGGATGTTGGAGACTTTATACATAAACATATTAAACAATTAATTAACAATTAATATTAAGATATAATAAAATTCTTAAAATCTTACTTTTAATTTTTCCAATACTATATCTCGTAAAATGTTTCTTCTCTTTAGCTTCTAGATGAAAATCAATATTTTTCTTCTGTTTTCGATTACTTAAATTATCTTTCGCTACTTCATTTTTTACATTTGTCACATTGCTATCTGAATCTTTAATCTGTTTGATTTTAACTGCTTCTTTTATTTCATTATTTGATTGTTTATTTTGTTTACTTTTAATTATCTCTTTTACTTCACTGTTTGATTCTTTAATTTGCTTAGTTTTATCTGGTTCTTTTACTTCACTATTTGAATCTTTGGGCTGTTTTGCTTTACTGATTTCTTTTATTTGCAAAACTGGTTTTGATTCTACTTCTTTCTTTTGATTGCTTTCATTAGTGATATTACTTAATTTCAAATCAATATGATTTGTGTCTTTCTTATCTGATTCTTCATTGATTAATTCTTTAGAAGTCATTTTGATTATTTTATTTAGGTCAGAAAATTCATCAGATAAAGGTGATCCTTCCAATAATGCTAAATGACGTTCAATTTCTTCATCAATTTGTTCTGATGTTTTTTCTTCAATTTCTTCTGTAACACTTTCATCTTTAACAGCTTCTTTGACTTTTGATAATGATTGTTCATTTTCTAAACAATTTAATTTATCGTCTGCATTATCAACTACACCTTTTTCTTTTTTTATAGAACTTTCTTCTGTAGATGTTTTCCTTTTCACCATCACATCAGGCTGACTGAAAAGAGCAGGTTCATCAACTAATGACTTACTAGATTCTCTTCTGTTATGTAGCTTCTTTAGTTTTTTCATTCCTTTTGCCAATTTATCATCTTTTATTTTGTTTTTGTCTTCAGATAAATCTGTTTGTTCCCCTTCATTAATTTTAATTTCTTTTACTTTATTTTCACTATCAGATGAATGCTTACGACTTCTTTCAATTGAGTGTGATTTACAGAGTTTTCTCTTACTCTTTTCGGTAGATTTCTTCTCCTCTTTTATATCTGATTTAGAACTTGATTCAGATGAAGTCCGTTTCTTTTTCTTTAGCCTAACAGTTTTCTTTCCTTGTAAATTTTTAATATTTGTTTCAATATTGCTTAGTTCATCTTCATTTGAAACCATTTTTTCACTCATTTCTGCATTTATTTTTGTTGAATCAGATTCTTCTGCTTTACTTTTATCAGTTTCTTTAATGTCATCATCATCACTATGAAGTGGATGGCTTTTCTTCTGTTGTATTGATTTTCTTGCACTTGCTTTCTCTTTGCCTGAAACAATTATAATTTCAGCTGACATTTTCTCAGGTGCTACATCATTAATTTTTTCTTGTACTTCTTCATTAATGTTGGAATTACTATCTCCATTGGAAGATTGATTTTCTTTTTGTTGAACATTTCCATTTTGGGATTTTCGTCTTTCCATTTCTTCTTTTTCCCGTCGCTGTAACTCAGCATTTTCTGCTTTAATTTTTTCAACTTGTTCTCTCTGAATTTTGTCTAACTGTCTCTGAGATCGTCTCAAAGAAGGTGAAGTTGGCTTAACCTGTGTACTTTTCTTAACAGAAGAATCTGTCTTGTCAGAAGAGCTTTCACTTCTAATTTAAATATAAAAAAAAATCACTGTAATTCAAAATTATTAAAAAACTGTTATATTAATTCAATTAATCTTTTAATTAATTTTATTATTTTACAAGTAATTTATAGCAAATATATTTTCACAAATGAATTTTTAAACCCATTTTCAAGATACTCTAAACGTAATATTGTAAGATCTGAACCGCCCCTGTGGTTAATTATCAATTTAATAAATCCTCGATAAATCCCCTTTTCCCCTGTGTCACGTGGAAAAATACGAAATGCTGATTGGAGCAAATTCACGAAGAAAAAGAAAGAATTTTGCATTATTCGGGGAGTACGCCATGAAATCCGAAAGAAGGAAGACGTATTTCATACCATCTCCTGAAGGCCAATGCCAAAAGTCGAATCCAGAAGATTTTATAAAATGAGTTTAAATCAGTAAATAGGGAAGAAACTATTTAAATATATGCCATTCAAGACCTATTCAAGGAAGAACTATAGTATAAAGTTAAAAGACAGAAGATGATAAAGTTATACCAAGGTAGTATGATTATAATAGAAATTGTGAGCTCTCTCTCTCAAAAAGCTTTATTTGAATATTCTATTTGTATAATTTTGTTGTTTTGTTCCATTAAACCTTTGTTTTATTTATAAAAAGGAAATGTCTTTCAATTCGATTCAGATAACGAAGAGGTTCATTTTTGTATCATCTCAACACGCATGTTAATCCACGTATCATAAAAGTGATTAACTGGTGTCGGGAATCCTGACGAGGAAAAGGGTGATTACACGATCACCTATTCCTGCTAAAATTAACGCTCTCCTAGAAAAAGTAGTGAGCCAATCTTGTGATTGTGTGCCCGTAAGTGGCTTAGACTCAGTTCTACATCCGTGGCTTCTCACAATATCATTATATTCAAGTTAGTGTATGCATGTGTATATATTGTGTATTTAATCATATTCACAATATATGCATTAATATAGGGTGAGCAAAACAAAATTCATAAAAATGGAAAATTATTGAAATGAAATATGATCTTTCATGATAAGTATTGTCAGCATAAGGAGGATTATGGACAGGAGAGAATAATTAATTCCAAAAACCTCCAATGGGTGCATTGACATACAAAAGATAGTAAACAGATGTGCAAATGACAATGAAAATGACTTTCAGTGTCATTTCTAATTGTGGAAGTATTTACATTTCTGAGTGTTTCAATCAGTTCCTTCCACACTGTTGGAATTGAAAAAATGCTATTTGCCATGAGGTAACATCCATCCATCCGGACATGCTGCACTCTGTAGACGAAAGTGTTGTTACTCAGCTAAATTCTCTTATACCCTGTGGTGGAGGCCAGGTCAAACACTTGTCTAATAAATACATTGAAAGCCATTTGAAAATGTTTTGAACTAATTTTTCCCATCAACAAAAATTCTCATGTTGACAACACTTATCATATAAACTGCATTTCATGCTTATAATTCTTCCATTTTTTATGAATGTTTAAAGTTGGATATATACATCTGTAATTATAACATAGCTATATGTGCAATTTTATAGATTACTGTAACTGTATTATATTTTCTTGATACATCAAGATGTGAACACAAGTTATGGAGAAAGTTACTTATTTTTTAATTTTCCATTTAAATTAAAATATCAAAACTAATATTCAATATTTTCTACTCACTGCGAAAACTTATTTTGAATATTTCTAAGTAAATCTTCTGGAAAGCTTGTATAGCAATGATCTTTCAGAATAACATCAAGTTCCATTGCTTGTAAATTAAGGTCTTCAGGAAGTAATTCTGTGCTCAAACCAATATCGACTTCATTTGACTCAGAAAACAGTACCTGATTACCATCGTTTTCAAACACCTATGCAGTAAAGTAAAATATTATTTATTTAAATGCTTTATGACAATAACTTAGTACAGTACATCTTAAATTTAATGATTCATAATATTTTAATTATTTCTCAAAGCTATATTATTAATTTCAACAGGAATATAAATTATCTAATCTTCAATTATCCAGACTTCCATGTAACTCAACCGCATGTTATTATGAATTTTTCTTTCTTCTTCTGAGCAAATTTCAATAATAAAATTTGTTAAGAAATAAATTAGCAAGTCTTCCAAGNTGAATAAATGAATAAATTTTTTGCATTTTATGCATGAGTACAAACAGGAGTTACAGAAATACAAAATTAAAAATTAAATATTCAATGTCAATATTTTCAGGAATTTGTTTATAAATAACTTTTTCTTAAATTTATGTGAAATATAAATTTACAAAAATTATGATGTTTTACAAAATTGAGATTTTATTTTTTAAAAAAATCTAATATTTACCTAGACTTTCTTTCTCCGGTGTTCCTTCAAATAATTTCACTGAGTGAGAAGATTCTTGAAGTAACACTTTTGCCTGCTCTGACTGTAGAACAGCATCTATTTTTTGTATCTGATCTTGAGACATAGCTAAAAAAGGATTTTCCTCACATTCCATATCCTGTAAATAAAGCAGACTATTTTTTAAAAAATTTCTAAAGCATTAAATTTACAATGTTAAGTTTAATAAAAAAATTTTTTAACACATTCTTCTATATTATAATATATCATATTTTTAAATATAGTAAAATAAATTTGTTTAACAACCCCCAATTGGTTCATGTAAATATATTGTTAAATTGATTGACCCTTTGAAAGATTCATCAATAACTAGGTTGGGAACCTCTATTTTAAATCTATCTTTATTTAATTATGTAGTTAAATATTTTGCTGATATATCTATTTAAGGGATTAAATGATAAATAAATCTCTTCTAATAATATTACATTCATATTTTTAACAAGATTATGTCTTGTTTATAAAATCATACTGCCTGATTTTCTTACCAGCATAGAGGTATGAAGGAGTACATGTCAAGAGTTGATATTTGGCACAGAGTATTAGGTGCCTAAATCATTTGCACATAAAAAAATCCAGACTCTTAGGTAGTCAGGGGACCGAGAATCAAGTCAAAATAAAATACAAAATGGTGACCCTCTTCTACAAACAGGCAAAACAGGCACTTCACCCCACTGAAGTCAGGTGGGGAGAATATTATCCATAGTCATTCTAAGTGAACTCTGACCTTAGAACTGAACATGTAGTTTCTTCTACGTTAAATAAAATTTGTAATCTAATTTTGTAAATTTGGGAGTGCTTCAAATATGACGTTAAAACGGTTTTATGTCGTTACAAGTGGGTTTTTTAACATTATCTAGTATAGTAAAATCGTAGGACCGATAAACATTTGACATTATATTAGGGTTGTCGTTACATTCGATGACATTATAATCGGGTTAAACTGTATATTGTTTGTGCAAAATAAAAAATAATTTCGGACGATACAATATCCACGATTATTTTTTTCAAAAGCAGGAACTTTTTGTTATGCATCAACAAAAATTCAACCCGGGCCGACATGCAACAGAGAGAAATTTTGAAATTAGGTTAATTTCATCAAAGATGCATCGTGGACGATCTCGTGGTCATGGCCGGCAAAGTTTGAACGATCGCACCCAAAAGCAGTAATATCAAAGATGATAGGAGAATGAGAACGAGACCTGACGTGAGCATCAAAGTGATTCCGTCTGCGAGAAATAGTCTTGTCCCAAATACGGTTTTGCCATTTTACTTGTCGAGAATAATTCTTAGAACCTCTAAAACAAATTATTTAGTATTAATTAATTACATAGCCATATTAAAGCTAAATAGTTCAGCAATTAATTTGGCTTTAAATTTTACTTTTAATCAACATATACTATCATATGTAAATTATATCTTAACAAGGAAGACATATCACTTTGACAAACAAACATACAGAGANTAAGAAGTGAACTCTGACCTTAGGACTGAACATGTAGTTTCTTCTATGTTAAATAAAATTTGTAATCTAATTTTGTAAATTTGGGAGTGCTTCAAATATGACGTTAAAACAGTTTTATGTCGTGACAAGTGGGTTTTTTTAACATTATCTAGTATAGTAAAATCGTAGGACCGATAAACATTTGACATTATATTAGGGTTGTCGTTACATTCAATGACATTATAATCGGGTTAAACTGTATATTGTTTGTGCAAAATAAAATATAATTTCAGACAATACAATATCCACGATTATTTTTTTCAAAAACGGGAACTTTTTGTTATGCATCAACAAAAATTTAACCCGGGCCGACACGCAACAGAGAGAAATTTTGAAATTAGGTTAATTTCATGGAAGATGTATCGTGGATGATCTCATGGTCGTGACCGGCGAAGTTTGAACGATCGCACCCAAAAGCAGTGATACCAAAGAAGATAGGATAATGAGAACGAGACCTGACTTGAGCATCAAAGTGATTCCATCTCCGAGAAATAGTCTTGTCCCAAATACAATTTTGCCATTTTACTTGTTGAGAATAATTCTTACAACCTCTAAAACAAATTATTTAGTATTAATTAATTACATAGCCATATTATAGCTAAATAGTTCAGCAATTAATTTGGCTTTAAATTTTACTTTTAATCAACATATACTATATCATATGTAAATTATATCTTAACAAGGAAGACATATCACTTTGACAAACAAACATACAGAGACCCAAATTTTGATAAGTTTTTATAAAAGGACAAAAAACTATTCCATCCAGAAATATATTATTAATAATGTAAAGTAATAGATGATTCATATAGAATGAAATCCAGATATGTGGTTATATATTTACAACTGATGGGCCAAAAACAAAGATATTGTATTAACTATTACCTTATTTTGTGCTAAACAAGAGATAGTATATCACATACTTTACATCAGCAATTCTCAAACTTTTCTGGCACACAGCACACTGTAAAACATGAAAAATTTTTCTGGCGTACTTTGTGTACACAATTAAAAATATATTAATTAATATATTTTAAATTATAAATAGATGTGTTCTACAATAACTGCTACCCCATAGACAAGTGATGGCAAACCTTTTTCTGACAGTATTTCAAAATTGAATTCAAAATTTATTAAATCCAAATCTTGGGTCAAATATTTAATTTAATTAATTAAAAAATAAAATAAAATTTGTAAGCATTTTTGTTATTTAACTTTTTAATCTGTATTAGAAAAATAACAATAAACTCTAAGTGAAAAGAAAATAATATGATTATAACAGAAAAATATTTCATTTAATGGGAAATTTGCTATTGTTTATTTGATGATAATTTTTCTATCTGAGGTTCATAATTAAGACTTTTCATGACAGCTTTAGGATCTTGCACTTCCATGCTAAATATGCAAAGTTTTGAAATTTATTAAGTATTTTTTTAATAATTTATAAAACCAAATTTTTTATAAGAAACCAATATGGGGAACCTTGAAATTGTTGTGTGGAAATAGCTTTGCCATCACTGTTATAAACAAATATCTATAGATCCACGATAAACAAATAGCTAGGTTTTTGCTATTTGTTTATCATGGATGTAATAAATCCTCATACAAATCAGTTTCTTCTGATTTTCAAAATATACCTTTATAATATTCATGTCACATTTGACCATCTCTTAAAACATTAGTGTGCCTTGATGCACTGTTTGAGAATCACTGCTGTATAATATGCTTAAATTTTAAATTCTCATTTGTTTTTCACAATATATTAGGAAAAAATTTGTTTATTTATGAATAAATGAATAAATTTTTTGCATTTTATGCATGAGTACAAACAGGAGTTACAGAAATACAAAATTAAAAATTAAATATTCAATGTCAATATTTTCAGGAATTTGTTTATAAATAACTTTTTCTTAAATTTATGTGAAATATAAATTTACAAAAATTATGATGTTTTACAAAATTGAGATTTTATTTTTTAAAAAAATCTAATATTTACCTAGACTTTCTTTCTCCGGTGTTCCTTCAAATAATTTCACTGAGTGAGAAGATTCTTGAAGTAACACTTTTGCCTGCTCTGACTGTAGAACAGCATCTATTTTTTGTATCTGATCTTGAGACATGGCTAAAAAAGGATTTTCCTCACATTCCATATCCTGTAAATAAAGCAGACTATTTTTTAAAAAATTTCTAAAGCATTAAATTTACAATGTTAAGTTTAATAAAAAAATTTTTTAACACATTCTTCCTGAAATCCATGCATAATTAAAATTTAAATAGTTTTAAACTGGATCAAAATTTAAATAAAAACACCCACCTTGGATATTATAAATATTTATAATATCTAAGTGACTTCCTTTAATTACAATATAGTATTATCCCTACAGTATAGCAGTCAAGTTACTCACTGACAATCTTTAACTAATGATTCAACTAATAAAATAATATACAACATATAATATGGTTCAGTAAAATTATGAAACTAGTGTTCACATTCGAATATCCATATTTACATTTTAAACTATAATTAGGAAAGTGCTAGAAGTAACTTTCTTGAGAATTCACTACAATATTTTTTTATACAAAAGTAATATTTTTCAAATATATTTAATAGTACAGGATGATCATAATTAAAAAGTAGGTGTTCAGAACTTTCTATAGAAGAAATTTATTTTGTAAATATCAACCAAATTTGGGCATCACTGGCCCATTAATGTTCATATTACATAAATTTTCTAATAAATTTTTGGTATAAAAGAAGTTTCAAAATGTTCTTCACAATTCTTTGACAGATGAACAATCATGGTGTTCAATTTGCTAATTGTGCATTACTAGTTAGACTGTTCTATCAATGAAACAGCACAGTCATCTCAGCCATCTGTAATTGAAATAAAACTTTATTTATCCTTACTACACAATGAAGCACACTCAATAGACACCAGGCTTTCTTTACTTCTGTCTTTATTCTGCTGTTTAGGTGCCGATACACATAAAACATAGAATTTTATACATGGTATTAAATATGGAATAACAAAGAACCAACAGAAAAGGGCAAGCCTCCAAAATATGTATCAGCATCTAAACAGGAAAATAAAGACAGAAGTAAAGAAAGCCTGGTGTCTATTGAGTGCACTTCATTGTGTAATAAGTATAAATACAGATAAAAGACATACAGTCGACCCCCCTATAACACGGGTTCCTATAGTTCGGATTCCTATATCATGGCAAAAAAATTGCGACAGTATTCGTACAAACATGCTAAAAAAAACTCCATTAATTCGGTAAAACGTCATCGCCGGCTCGTATTGCGACAGGATTGCACAAACCATTGAGTTTAAACAAGCAGCAGACCTACCAAAAACCATTTATTATTTAACGTCCTTAAAAATTATATTTATATTAATGATGTCTTTAGAGACATCATTAATATAAATATAATTTTATCTAAAGTTCAGCGAATTTTTCACAAAAAAAATAATTTATCAGGAAGCACGCGAGTGCCATTTGATGACAACCTCCACGATGAAAACAAGCTTAAGCAACGGCGTAGTCAAACGGTGCACACTCGGTAAGTAATCCTACAATTTTTTGTTTATAGCATAGTTTATATGGATTATTCCCAAAAAATTATATGTATTTTGGAAATGTTGAGTCGAATTAGTCTAGAATAGATTAATTTTATGGAAGAAACTTTTCAAAAAGCCATAGTCCGTAAACTGCACACATGCCGGGCTGTGATTGGCTGGACTCCTAGAAGCTGGATTCATAAAAACAGGAACGTATCTACCGTGTTATAGGGGTCGACTGTAGTTTCAAATTGGAAGAAGGATAAAATAAAACTGTTTCACTTTGTTTATTAACTCCCAAACTTCATCAGAAAATGTATGTAATATGCGCATTAAGAGAACAGTAGTGCCAAACTTTGACCTATTGTCTAAATTTTGAATTAAAATATTTTCCCAAAATAGAAACAGCATATTCATGACAGTATATGTACCAAATTTGGTTGAGATTTGCTTTGATACAGTGCTTTGAACACCTACACTTTAATTATAATCATCCTGTATTTTTAAAAATACTGAAGGCACTATAAATGTTATTTGGACTTAAAATGTCTCAGACACTCTAGCAACATGGGTCCTGTTGCCCTTTCATTATGAAAGTGTTATAAAGTTTCATTGTACTTAATTATTTATATATAATAACTATTCTTATATTAGAAAAAGTAATATATTTATTTGAAATTGAAGTCCAAATAGTAATCAGACTCATAAACTATACGATAAAGTTAGATATCTAGCAAGAGAGTTCAAACCACACACAGAAATAATTAAAAATGATGAAAATGAAATCATAACTGATGCAGAAGGGATTGCAGATGTCTGGAGGAAGTATTGTGAGAAACTTTATAAAGACACTGGACAAACAAATGGTAATAATCAACTTCAGAATGGATGGACAAGTGAAGTTGAACCATCTATTCTTAAATCAAACGTAGAAAAAGTCATAAATACATTAAGAAATCACAAAGTTCCAGGACCTGACAACACAACCTCCAAAATTTTAACAGCAATGGGTGAACTGAGTGTTGATATATTTCATAAAATCTGCTCCCTAATTTGAAAATCCGGATATCAGAGGAATGGTTTAAATCAATATTTATTCCAATTTATAAAAAAGATGCACCAACAGACTGTAGTAACTACAGAACTATCAGCCTAATTAACCATGCTGGTAAAGTAATGCTCCAAATAATTAATAACAGTTTGAAACCCTTCCTATTACTTGAAATAGCTGAAGAATAGTCAGGGTTTAACCCTGGTAAAGGAACTTGTGAACAAATCTTGAATGCTCAACAAATCATTGAAAAAGCCTATGAATTTAATGTCAAAGCTTACCTTTGTTTCGTAGACTATACCAAAGCCTTTGATTGTGTAAAATGGCACAAATTGTGGCCCACTCACCAGAACATGGGAATCCCATGCCATCTTATTTCGATGATCAGAAATTTATATGAGAACAACTCTGCAAGAATAAGAGTTAACAAAACTATATCTAATACATTTACATCTGAAGCTGGTGTAAGACAGGGATGTATTCTTTCCCCTTTACTCTTTAATGCTTATTCTTTAATAAAATAATCATGAAAAAGGGTATTAGATAACTGGGACAAAGGCATTTCCATCAGGAGCCGAAAAGTTAACAACCTAAGATACACTGATGATACACTTATTATAGCATCCAGTGAATCAGAACTTGAATGTATTATGAAAAGTCTTGAAACTGAGAGCAGATAATATGGATTGCTGATTAATGGAAGTAAAACAAAAGTTATGATAATTGATTGTTCCTTGACACATACTAAGGAAATTACAGACTATAAGGTGGTGAATGAATTTATTTACCTTGGATCAATTCTTATGAATAAAGGAGAATGCGATAATTAAATTAAATGCAAAGTTTGCCTTGCTCACAATGAAACCTCTAAATTATTTAGAATTTGGAAAGATTCTGCAATCACTATTTTTAATAAACTATAGCTCACAAGAACACTTATTTTTTTCAATTACTACTTATGACTTGGAAACCTGGACCATAAATGCCACTTCTCGGAAGAAACTCGATTCCTTTGAAATATGGACATATAGAAGATTGCTGAGAATCTCTTGGATAGAGCACCGAACAAATTTCTCCATCCTAAATCAACTGAAAATCACAACATGCATTACCACTAAAATATACCAATCCTACCATAGCTTCTTGAGACATATTTCCAGATGCAAAAATGGATTTGAGAAACAAATTCTAGAAGGGAAGATCAATGGCAAATACCCTAGAGGCAGACGCCGAATTAGGTGGGCAGACCAAGTAATGATTACAGGACATACAATGTATGAAGCCATCCAAATGGCACAACACCATGAACAGTGGAAAGATACAATTAATTTCAAGAAAGCAATTTGTATATCACCATGCCCTCTGAAGGGCATAGGACTAAGAAAAAGATTTAGTTTCATTTATTTGGTTATGGTAACGCAACAAATGAGCAATCTGTTGAGGGGGATGCATCCCAGGAAAACTTTTATGTAAAGCTTGCCCCAATTTAAGTGGTAAATTAACAGTAGAATTGTGGATGGGGTCAATTTGTCAATTGTCAACCCTGTTCACTTATTGTTTTTCTATATAAAGACACTGAAAGCACCTTCTGTACTTTTCCAGCAATTAATTTCTAATAAAACTAACATTTTCAGCCTGATTATTAAGCCTTCAACAGGTTTTTGAACAGAGATTCTATTTTTCTGATGAAGACTTATTAATCAGGCCGAAAACATTTTATTAAAAATTAACTGCTAAAAAAGTATTTAAGGTGTTTTCAGTGACTTTATATACTGTGCGGTTCTAGCTTAGACTATTATCGATATTTTTTTCTAATAGTTCAATTAATATATATCTGACTGACTTGAAATTTTATGAGTTTTCCTGATTGGTGCCTTTACCAATTAGTAAAACATGTAATTAAATAACTTTAACAGAAGCCAAAAAAAGTGAATATACAGTAGACCCCCCTATAACGCGGGTTCCTATAACGTGGCGAAAAAATTGTGACGGTATTCGTATAAAGACGCTAAAAGGGACTCTTAAAACGTCATTGCCGACTCGTGTCGCGACAGGATTGGTCGAATCTGGACCAATAGTAGACGAGCAGCCGAACTACTTATACGGTACAGAGAGTTTAGGCGAGTAAGTTGAGTTTACTATCGTCTGTACAGTATTATATATAAATTAGGTACTATATATTAATTATAT